CTCCGGAGGCCCCCAATTAGCGTTCTTTGAGCGGGCGAGTCGAACGGGTTGCTGATGCTGATAAGCTTCGATGCCAGATGGCAGCGTGTCCCTGTCAAAACTTGACCATGACTGAGGCATGGTTGCACGCCCCGCTTTTCCCACCTGTCTTGATGTACCACTGTACTTTGTGTTAGGTAGCGTAGAGTACACCTGGCAGGTACCTACCTGTACGTGTAGAGCGAAGACATTATACAGCGTAGATACGGTAGGGCCGATGAGCTGCTGCCGCTGCACTACACTAGCGAAAGTCTACTACAGGTACATACGTAGGATGTAGGTATGCTTCCATTTGAAATGGAGCAATCTGAAAATAAACTGTGGGCCAGCTAGACAAGCGATGGTCTCCGAGGGGAAGTACAACTTCGCGCATCAATTACATCGAGATGGAAACATCGATAAGTTGTTCCATCGTCTTCTCCCGGGCCTGTGATCACATGATATGATTACTGTCACCGAGACGGAGGCAAAGAACAAGCGACAAAGCATCGAACATCTTGATGGGATCTACAGTATGTCGCAAGAAGCAGAGTAGTGGTACAATACTGCAGACTGCAATCAAGCCTTCGGCGAGTTCGACAGTCCATCATGGGGGACCAACATGGCATTGTCTGGTTCAACTCGCTGTTCCCCATTGCTGACCGTGCCCTGGTAGTGCTGATCCGCCGGCGGGGTTTGCGGGTGCGGCCACGACTGTCAGCAACAAGCCGCGTCTTTGACGTGAATGACGATCGAACGAGATGCAACCCGCGTGCACGTATAGCTTTTGTTTGTGTCTAAAGATAACTGATGGGTACACTAGTAGAGAGAGCCACACCATGCACTGTACGGATACTACAGGTACATAACAAGCAACCTAGGAACCAGCTTACACGAGCTGCAGCCGGAGCCGTCGTAGCACTTGCTCATCACGCTCATGCTCGTACTACGTATGCTCTTGGCGCTCGGTCACACTAGTGGGGAAGGAAGACGCGTGGTCGTGCCGACAACGCATCCTTGATTGTGGCTACTACTAGGTGGCTGGGTGGGCTGATGGGCCTAGCCTCCCAAGGAAAGAATCGGTTAATTGACGACACCTGCCTGCGCCTGTTCCCGGCCGGTCATCCTCCAACGTAGCAGAATCAATGATTGGTGCCTCCTCTCTTTTGACGGCTTAAAGTGTGCTGAAGTACAAATCTGTCCCTGCTTGCGGTTGTAGGTCCTATCCAAGGGTCAAAACGTGCAACGGCCAACTCAATTCCATGCAATCGAACGTCGGGTTCTTTTCTTGGACATGTTCATGTATCGGACGGGGGGTATGCAGCTGCCGTTGCAGTGCATGCATAGCGCAGTATCCGTACAGTGCCTTGAGATGAAAGCTGGCAGACCCACGACCGTACGTGAAAGTTGGTGTCGCTCCAAGCTTGTTTCTCTGCCTGCTTTCTAGTGTCGTGGTTAAGGTTGGATGGCGACGACGACGACGACGACGACGACGACGACGTAGTACCAAGCAGGGACTCAGGACTGGCACGAGATTTTCGGCCATCGCCGCATGAAACTGAAGAGGAAGTTGGCGTAAAGTGAAGCGAGACGAGCATGATCAGAGCTCTCTCTCCCTCTCTCCTCTTGCCGTGTTCCGTAATTGTCGCCCATATTTTTGCCAGGGTCGATTACGGGTAGCAAGAAAATAAGGAACAGGTCACCAGTTAATTAATTAAAACGGCCGTCGACGCAACACGAGCCCCTCCGCCGCCACACCGCCAGCATTTCGCTCCTCCCACAGTGACTGAGACGGCAATCGCAACGGCCCGAGGGAAGGGGATCAGGACAGAGCTGGCTGCTGGCCCTCTGATGAAGGATAGCCGGACAAGGGCTGCTGCTGCTTAGGTAGTGTGGAGCCAGAGCCTTGAAAAGTGACTCTCACTGGTCAGAGATATGCTGGACATGCACAAGAATCTTGAAATACTTGTTGCTGACATAATGAAGGAATTACGGTCATGGATACCTGAAAGGACAGCTACAGGCTGCAGCTGCCTCGCCTCGCCTCAGACACAGACAGAACGGAGTGGTGTATGTACCAAAGAATCTACCTAGGTACCTACCTACGATATCTAGAGATAGGTACCTCGAAATCGAAACCAAGGATCAATAGCCAAACACCAGACGCTCCCGCGACGAGACGAACCCTCACCTTACGTGCTTACTTGGCCTGTTCACGGTCGCCGTGTCGCCCTCGACGGGGGTTCTGGGGTGGAAGTCTGTTTGAAGAAGGCTTAGAGATGGCACTAAATTGATACTGGCACATCAAGTTTCGCAACGCCCGGCCTTGCTCTCCAGTGTACCTATCGTATTGTACAGAGTACTTCGTACAGTAGTCTGAGAATCCTGGAATGCAACCCCTGGCTGGGTCGCCCCTTTCGTTCTTTGCCCACTCCTTCCTTTGACCGAGATGTTTGTCATCGATCAACTAGGAAGGAAATCACGGGGGACTATGAGATCACATGGGGGCAACGCCTCGCCAACGCAGAAGACTACGCTAATTACTATGTTAGCATACCATGTATGGTACACTATGTGGTGCTTAAACGCGAAGAACCTCAAAGAGTTGAAAAGGCTGTGAGGCGGTGGCAGGAGGCCAGCCACCAGGCGGCAGTCGTCAACCAGGCAGTCAGGTAGGGAGGGTACCGACTACAGTATGTGCATAATCGCTTCCTTGATCCATCTCCGCCGACTCATCCATCTCACCTGCAGAGTCCAGGAAAACGCACAATTGGAAACGAACCCAGGGCCTCCTGATCCGAGTGGAGCGGGGCCGGCAGACGACAAGATCTGTTGTATAGGTACACAGTAAATATTTGTGTGTCGTGTCTCGGTGAGTGCACTTAGAGACGGATAAAATAGCACCGCCATGAGACCGATCGAGTCAGATGCTGACGAATGGGAGGGGGGTTGATTAGGACAACCGACGACAACCATGATGGCAAAGTACAAATACCAGAAGCCAATTGAGCCAAAGGTCAAGACCGCATAAGTTGGAGGGCTGGCACGTTGGTCAGGTCGGACGCACTCAGAGACAGAGCCAAGAATGGATGTCAATAATTTTGTGAGCAAGTTTGGCTGCGACGAACCATCTCTTCCAAGGCCTAGGTTGACGTGCCGTTGGGCGACCAGAAGGGGCCTGCCAACCGTCACCAACCCCCCTGTCGAGTGTCTGGGAATGCCCCCACCTTTCCAAGGAGGTTACCTACACACCGGCGATGAGAGACCAAATATAGGTACGTACACAGTGTCTGAGTGTTCAGCCATCCATCCCACTCGTTCCGCCCACAGACACGACGTCGGCTCCTTGCCCAAAGGAGCCTGTCTGTTCTTCGTCTGACCAGTCAACAGGCGGGAATGCATATGGCACAGCCACGCCTGCCGTCCCAGGCCCTAGGGAAGCTAACCTGATTAGGAGGAAGAGGAGCTAACAAGAAAGAAGGGGGGGAAAAACACCCTCCACCTCTATTCGTAGGCGCTTTCCATTCGTACCCGGGCACTTCCTTGGATGAAGTGAGATCGGCCCTGGACGATTGGTGGCCCACACTTTTTCGCTCTGTACTACGTAGTGCATCCAGCTCCCCTCCCGCTGTACTTGCTGTGCTGCTGTTGGTCTTGCTAGTGGTCGCATCCCTGTTTTGAATCTCCTGTCTAGTGCGCCTGGTCAATGTCTCCTATTTTTCGTTGCTTTCTGTCTCTCGGCCTTAGTCAACAGAAGAAGATTGTCCGATCACCGAGGAAGGAAAGGAAAAGCAGGACGGGGAGGAAATGGACGAGGGCAAAAGGAGACAGACAGATAGACATGCCTTGATGCTTGAAAAATATCTCCCTCTCTTTTCCCGGTTTGCAGACGTGTGGGCTCCTTTCACTTTAACTTAGGTACTGTGCTGGCACCAGCCTCCCTCTCACCCCCCTCCCCCCTCTTCATCAGCAACGAGCAAGCAATCCAATCCACGTCTCGTCCGCCCCTCTCGTTGCAGGCCGTTCCTTCTGCTCTGCCCTTCTGCTCTGCCCTTACTCGCCCCGTCCTGCTCTTCTTGCCTTACCCTGCCTATCCCTTAATCGTCTTGGTCTCCCCCCTTTTTGCAGTACCTACCTACCTATCTACCTAGGTAGAGTACCTACCCACTGTGCCGTGTGTGCTTGCTTGTGTAAAGGTACAGACAGGCCTCAGCTCATCCCCTTCCCCGTAGCTACTGCGCACCTAACACCCCATATCTTCGCTCCCGACCTTACCTACCTGTCTACCTCACCTATTTCCCCCTTTTTTAACTTCCTCCCACACACCACAACCGGTTCGCACCTTCCACTATCCGCGTTCCGTCACCCCTTTTCCCTTCCTCCTCCTACCTACCTATTTTTTTTATCTTAATTCACCACATTCGTTTGCGAGACGGCCTACCCAGGCAGTCACGAAACTAGAAGAACAAGAAAAAGTATCTCATACCCCGAGCCAATTCGCGTCGCCTTCTTCGGGAGTTCGTCAAACTCTTCTCAACTACTGCAAAGGTGACGAGTGCTTTGCTTCCTCGAGCAACGCAACGCACCTTGCATTCGGGCACTCTTCCCCAACCTCGTCGGTTCGGCATCATACGAGGCAAAACAACCAGCAAGCCGACCACGCCAGTCGCTTTGTTTTGCTCTTGCAACCCCCTTCTTCAGATAAAAAACCGCGGTCAAGCCACTAAAACGACTTTCAACTCGACGACTAAAACTACTGTCGCTATCTGCTCTCGTTGTGCCGGCCACATCAGCTTGGGCTTTCCCACACCAGCCCTCTTACTGACCCCTCGACCCTCATCTCCCGGATTCTATCTGATGACTTTTGGACGGTAAGTTGCCCAAGGTTCCTGAACATGACGATTTCGCCCATTGAAGCGCCGCTCGCACTAGATTGACCTGCGCCTGCGCTGACACCACTTCTTAGATAATTATCCACCAAAATGTCGGGATACCCAGCCGGTGGTGCCGGTGCCGGTGGCCACCAGGATTACGACGATGGTTACGGCCAGCACGGCCGCGGCCAGGGAAACGGTACCCAACAGACCGATTCCTACTACCAGGATGATCAGCAGTATTACGATCAAAACGGTTACGACACCCACGGCCAACCTCCCCAGGGCGGCGATGGCTACTATGACGAATCGTACGTGAAACCGCCTCTATGAAGGCAGTCTAGCATTACTGACCACCCTTCGCTTCTAGTGGCTATTACAATGCCGACCCAAACAGTGCCTATCACCAGGACGGCGGCTACTACGACAACAATGAGCAGTATCAGGATGAGTACTACAACAACGGCAACAATGGCAATGGGTATTATGACCAAGACTACAATCAGGGCTATGCTGGTGCACCTCGCCGACAAGGTTCCGAGGAGGATTCCGAGACTTTCAGCGATTTCACCATGAGGTCCGATATGGCTCGAGCTACTGACATGGACTACTACGGCCGTGGCGATGAGCGTTATAACAGCTACGACCAGGGTGGTGCTCGTGGTTTCAGGCCCCCTTCTTCTCAGATCTCGTACGGCGGTAACCGTTCTTCCGGTGCTTCAACCCCCAACTATGGCATGGACTACGCCAACATGATGTCGGCCGCCTCTCGTGAGCCTTATCCTGCGTGGACCTCGGATGCTCAGATTCCTCTCTCCAAGGAGGAAATTGAGGACATTTTCCTCGACCTCTGCGCCAAATTTGGTTTTCAGCGGGACAGCATGCGCAACATGTACGACCACTTCATGATCTTGCTGGATTCGAGGGCTTCGCGCATGACTCCTAACCAGGCTCTGCTGTCTCTCCATGCAGACTACATTGGTGGCGACAACGCCAACTACCGCAAGTGGTACTTTGCTGCCCATCTGGACTTGGACGACGCTGTCGGATTTGCCAATATGAAGGGCAAAGGTCTGCGGCGCAAGGCCAAGAACAAGAAGAAGAGTAAGGGCGAAGCCGACAATGAGGCCGATGCGCTCGAGGATCTCGAAGGTGACAACAGTCTCGAGGCTGCTGAATACCGCTGGAAGACTCGCATGAACCGCATGTCCCAGCATGATCGTGTCCGTCAGCTTGCGCTGTATCTTCTCTGCTGGGGTGAAGCCAATCAGGTTCGCTTTATGCCGGAATGCTTGTGCTTCATCTTCAAATGCGCCGACGACTACCTCAACTCACCTGCTTGCCAAAACATGGTTGAGCCGGTCGAAGAGTTCACTTTCCTCAACAACGTCATTACCCCGATCTACCAGTTCTGTAGAAATCAGGGCTACGAAATCTCCGACGGTGTTTATGTTCGCCGGGAACGCGACCACGACAAGGTCATCGGTTACGACGACTGTAATCAGCTCTTCTGGTATCCCGAAGGAATCGAGAAGATCGTCCTCGAGGACAAGTCGAAGTTGGTTGACGTTCCTCCCGCTGAGCGCTATCTCAAGTTCAAAGATATCAACTGGAAGAAGTGTTTCTTCAAGACTTACAAGGAGACTCGGTCGTGGTTTCACATGCTGGTGAACTTCAACCGTATCTGGATCATTCACTTGACCATGTTCTGGTTCTACACCTCGGCCAACGCCCCCAGTGTTATCCTCGGTTCCAAGTACGAGCAGCAGGCCAACAACCAGCCGACAAAAGCGCAGCAGTTCTCCATCGTCGGTTTTGGTGGTACCATCGCCGCACTCATTCAGGTTTTGGCAACTTTGGCCGAGTGGGCGTACGTCCCGCGCAAGTGGGCAGGCGCACAACACTTGACCAAACGCATGTTGTTCTTGATCCTGATCCTGGTCATCAACGTTGCGCCTTTCGTCTACGTTTTCGTCCTCCCCAATCCGAACGAGAAGATTGCCGAGATTTTGGCCATTGTTGAGTTCGTTATTGCACTTATCACCTTCCTCTTTTATTCGATCATGCCCCTTGGCGGTCTCTTCGGAAGCTACCTTACCAAGAACTCGCGCAAGTACGTTGCCAGCCAGACGTTCACGGCCAGCTACCCCCGTCTCAAGGGCAACGACATGGCCATGTCCTACGGTCTCTGGGTTGCCGTTTTCGGTGCCAAGTTCGGAGAGTCATACGTGTACCTCACTCTGTCCTTCAGGGATCCCATCCGGTACCTCTCGATCATGCAGATCGATTGTATGGGCGACAAGATTATTGGCAACATACTCTGCAAAAACCAGCATTATGTTCTGCTAGCCTTGATGACCTTCACAGACTTGATCTTCTTCTTCCTTGATACGTATCTGTGGTACGTTCTGATCAACGCCCTCTTCTCCATCGCCAGATCGTTCTACATCGGTTCCTCCATCATGACACCCTGGAGGAACGTCTTTTCACGCCTTCCGAAACGTATCTACTCCAAGATTCTCGCTACTGGCGACATGGAAATCAAGTACAAGCCGAAGGTACTGATTTCGCAAGTCTGGAACGCTATCGTCATTTCCATGTACAGAGAGCACCTGTTGGCCATCGATCACGTCCAAAAGCTTCTCTATCACCAGGTCCCTTCGGAGCAAGAAGGCAAGAGAACCCTGAGAGCACCTACCTTCTTCGTCTCCCAGGAAGATCACTCATTCAAGACCGAGTTCTTCCCCACGAACAGCGAGGCTGAACGACGCCTGTCCTTCTTTGCTCAGTCACTGTCCACTCCTATTCCGGAGCCTGTCCCAGTTGACAATATGCCTACTTTCACTGTTCTCATCCCGCACTATAGTGAGAAAATCCTCCTGTCGTTGCGTGAGATCATCCGCGAGGATGAGCCTTACTCCCGTGTTACCCTCCTGGAGTACCTCAAGCAACTTCACCCTCACGAGTGGGACTGCTTCGTCAAGGACACGAAGATCCTGGCGGATGAGACATCTCAGTTCAACGGCGACAGCGAAAAGAACGAGAAGGATACAGTCAAGAGCAAGATCGACGACCTTCCTTTCTACTGCATTGGGTTCAAATCCTCTGCCCCAGAGTACACCCTACGGACGCGTATTTGGGCCTCTCTGCGTTTCCAGACCCTTTACCGCACGATTTCTGGTTTCATGAATTATAGCAGAGCCATCAAGCTTTTGTATCGTGTGGAGAACCCAGAGGTCGTCCAGATGTTCGGCGGCAACTCTGACAAACTAGAGCGTGAGCTCGAGCGCATGGCCCGTCGCAAGTTCAAGCTTTGTGTGTCAATGCAGCGTTATGCCAAGTTCAAAAAGGAGGAGATGGAGAACGCCGAGTTCTTGCTTCGCGCCTACCCCGACCTCCAGATCGCTTACCTCGACGAAGAGCCCCCCTTGGCTGAAGGTGAAGAACCTCGCCTGTACTCTGCGCTCATCGACGGTCACTCGGAAATTATGGAGAATGGCATGCGCAAGCCGAAATTCCGTATTCAGCTCTCCGGCAACCCGATTTTGGGAGACGGCAAATCCGACAACCAGAACCATTCGATCATCTTCTACCGTGGCGAATATATCCAGCTTATCGACGCCAACCAGGATAACTACCTAGAGGAATGCCTCAAGATCAGATCTGTTCTGGCCGAGTTTGAGGAGATGAAGACTGATAACGTCAGCCCCTACACGCCTGGAGTCAAGAACAAGATGGTCAACCCCGTTGCCATCCTGGGTGCTCGCGAGTACATTTTCTCCGAGAACATCGGTATTCTAGGTGACGTGGCCGCCGGCAAGGAACAGACGTTCGGTACTCTCTTCGCTCGTACTCTATCCCAGATTGGAGGAAAGCTGCACTACGGTCACCCCGATTTCCTCAACGGTATCTTCATGACTACTCGCGGTGGTGTATCAAAGGCTCAGAAGGGCTTGCACCTTAACGAAGATATTTATGCTGGTATGAACGCCCTGTTGCGTGGTGGCAGAATTAAGCACTGCGAGTACTACCAGTGCGGTAAAGGTCGTGATTTGGGTTTCGGCTCCATTCTGAACTTTACCACCAAGATCGGCACCGGTATGGGTGAGCAGATGCTTTCCCGCGAGTACTATTACCTGGGAACTCAGCTTCCTCTGGATCGATTCCTCTCTTTCTACTACGCCCATCCTGGCTTTCACCTTAACAACATGTTCATCATGTTGTCAGTCCAGATGTTCATGATCTGTCTCCTCAGCTTGGGCGCCCTTCGACACGAGACCAAGGCATGCAATTACAACCGCGACGTCCCCATCACCGATCCTCTCTTCCCCACCGGCTGCCAGAACACGGATGCGCTCATGGACTGGGTGTACCGCTGCATCTTATCCATTATCTTTGTGTTGCTGTTGGCCTTCGTCCCCTTGGTGGTCCAGGAATTGACCGAGAGGGGCATCTGGCGTGCCGCCAAGCGTCTCGGCAAGCAGTTCGGGTCTCTTTCACCGTTCTTCGAGGTCTTCGTTTGCCAGATTTACGCCAATTCGGTACAACAGGATCTCTCGTTTGGCGGTGCCCGGTACATTGGTACCGGTCGTGGTTTTGCGACCGCTCGCATTCCCTTCGGCGTCTTGTACTCCCGTTTCGCCGGTCCTTCGATTTATTTTGGTTCGCGCCTGCTGATGATGCTTCTTTTTGCCACCGTTACCATCTGGCAAGGTGCCCTCGTGTACTTCTGGATCTCTCTCCTGGCTCTGGTCATTTCGCCGTTCTTGTACAACCCACACCAGTTCGCTTGGAGCGATTTTTTTATCGACTACCGCGACTATCTCCGATGGCTCTCTCGCGGCAATTCTCGCTCTCACGCTTCCTCCTGGATCGCGTTCTGCCGTCTGTCTCGAACTCGTATTACAGGTTACAAGCGCAAGGCCCTCGGTGACCCATCGGCCAAGATGTCATCTGACGTACCGCGTGCGGCCATCACCAACATGTTTTGGGGCGAGATTCTCACTCCTCTGCTCCTCGTTGCTACTACCGTCATCCCATACCTCTTCATCAACGCCCAGACTGGTGTTGAAGGAGCGAACAACAGTGACATCTCGGAACCGCCTAAGCCAACCAACTCCTTGATCAGAGTCGGAGTCGTAGCGCTCGCCCCTATCGCAATCAACGCCGGTTTGCTAATGGTAATGTTCTTCATGGCCTGCTTCATGGGACCCCTCCTCAGCATGTGCTGCAAAAAGTTTGGCAGCGTGCTTGCGGCGATCGCTCATGGTGTTGCTGTCATTATGCTGCTTGTCTTCTTCGAGGTTATGTTCCTGCTTGAGTCGTTCGAGTTCGCGAGGACATTGCTCGGTATGATTGCTGTAGTTGCCATCCAGCGCTTCGTCTTCAAACTGATCATCTCACTCACCCTCACACGTGAGATTAAGACGGACGCGGCCAACATTGCATTCTGGACGGGCAAGTGGTACTCTATGGGATGGCACTCGATCTCGCAACCCGCTCGCGAGTTCCTCTGCAAGATTACGGAGCTGAGCATGTTTGCGGCTGACTTCATCTTGGGTCACTTTTTGCTCTTTATCATGCTACCGGTCATTCTCATTCCCAAGATTGACATGCTGCATTCCATGATGCTCTTCTGGCTGCGCCCTGGGTATGTCTTCATTCTGATTCTGAACTCCTTGAGCAAACTACTAACATTTTCTCAGTCGTCAAATCCGCCCGCCCATCTACTCGATGAAGCAGTCCAAGCTGAGGCGCAAGCGCGTATTCCGTTACGCCATCCTCTACTTCCTCATGTTCATCCTCTTCATGGCCCTCATGATTGGGCCCGCTGTTGTCGGTGGCATGATTCCTATGGACACTTTCAAGATGTTGAACACGGCGGATCTGGCTCTCATTCAACCCACTATTTACAACAACGACAACACGCATGAATCATCGGCAACGGGTACCGGAAGACCAGACTACTCTGGAGCCTATCTTACGATGACTGGGAGCGCCTCCGCATCGGCGACGAGCAACTCGGAGAGAGTGCGCTTGTTTTAATAGCGATTGTACCATAAACGCATATGGGGGAGTAAAGCGCGTCGTCATTTATACCGCGGTTCGGGGTTGGTTTGAGGCGACGAGCTGACAACCTAGACTGTGGCGGCAGATTTCTAATGTTCGTTGTTAGGCCTGTCTTGTTTCTTTTGGCTGGTAGCTATTTGTTCTCCGTTTTCTTTTCCCGTTCGGGCAGAAAAACATGGCTGGCATGGAATCGCGGCTGTTTAGACCTGCAGACTAGTATATCGTCAACAGCCCAGAATAAGACTGGACGAGACGTATAATGTCACGTTTAAGGAAGTTGAACGGTTTCGCTTCATCCTCCGTTTCAAGGTAAAACTGGTGATGACACTTGGCTGCTGTCTTTCTCTGTCAGTATATCCAAGTTTATCAAGTGTTGTTTCACTAGGCTGTCCTTGTTCTCATCCAAGGAGGGCGAAAGAGAAAAGCTGCAGTTCTCATCAAATCAGATGTAGTAATGAGTCGTGTTGGCCTCCATCTACCTGATCTGGTGTGGTGTCACGCGCCATCGATTACCTAATTCCACAGAGATAACGAGGCTACCAGGGAGCCACAATCTTGCGGCAATAGCGCACCGAAAGTGCCGCTGCATGTACCTACCTCTTCTCCCCTGTGCTCCAGGTACGGGTGGGCCAATCATGAGATGGGGAACCTCTGGGCAGGGGCCGCGCTCGGGGGAAAACCGCGTCAGATGTTGTTGTCACTTGGGCCTTTCCAAGCATCCAAGTACCAGAGCGTACTTCAGAGAAAGAGCACCAAGCCGATGGACTCTGGGTCGGACACACGCGTTACTGCCGTCGTCGTTTCTTTTCCCACGTCATCTACAATCGTATATCGACTCGTTTGACGACTCTCGGTGCAGAATCGTTCATGTTGATTGCCTTTGCGCAGGGGTAACGAGAGTGCAGAGTACATCTGCGCGCAGCACCTGCCGACCCTGGTACAACAGTAGACTGCTGCTTCCTCGATTGATTCCTCAGCACCAAAACTCGGCCATTGTCCACGCGCCTACCTACACCTCGCGTCGACCCTCCTCAACCATTACTGTGCCGTACCATACCTAGACACTCGGGTACCATTGACTGCCCTCGGCATCTCCCTCGACTTGGTTCTTGTTAAAGTCACCATGGACGCCGGCGAAGCCCAGACGAAGGTCATCGCCTGGCTGCACGAGGCCTCCGAGGCGTTCCAAAAAGTGCCTGGATCTGCTGTCCTCATTCGATACATCCAATCGAGCTATCAGAACGATCCCATCCGATCCGGTATCGAGCTCGTCCTCTTTATATTCTTCGTTCGCTATCTTCTGTCGCCGTCATATTCCACCCAGAAACAAAACTTCATCAAGCTTCGCGATGATGTACGCAGACGCCCCGCCCCCCTTTCTTTTCTCTTTTTTTCGTTTCCTTTCCGTACACTATTTACCCTGACCCCCGTACATAAACTGACGACATTTGTGCCAGGAAATCGATGAGCTAGTCGAAGATTGGTCTCCCGAACCCCTCGTCTCTCCCCAGACAGCACTCGAGGAGATCGAAGCTGAGAGGTTGCCTGTCATTGTTGGGTACAGACGATCGCCCCTCTCCCCTTTTCTCTCCGTCTACGGGAACGGTTTACTAAGTCTACGTCCAGACCTACCGGGCCTAAAACCAAGCTTGCAAACGGACGCACAGTCACGAACCTTGCCTCGTACAACTTTTACAACTTCAATGCGAACGAACAAATCAAGGACAAGGCCATCCAGACGCTGCGCACTTATGGAGTTGGTCCATGCGGCCCTCCCCAGTTCTACGGAACCCAGGACGTGCACATGAAGACAGAGGCAGACATTGCCGCCTATCTGGGTACAGAGGCTTGCATTGTTTACGCCCAAGCCTTTTCCACCATCTCCAGTGTCATTCCCGCCTTTTGTAAGCGTGGAGACATCATCGTTGCCGATCGTGCCGTCAACTACTCCATTCGCAAGGGCATGGAGGCTTCCAGAAGCACCATCAAGTGGTACGCCCATGGAGACATGGACGACCTGGAACGTGTTATCCAGAAGGTGGTCAAGGACCAAAAGGGAAAGAAATTGACGCGAAGGTTTATTGTCTCCGAAGGGTTGTTCGAGACCACAGGAGACAGTGCCGACCTACCCCGACTTGTAAGTAAAACGCTCATATGTAGGTAGCCGGTGCCGGCTGTTGGGAAAATGATGTAACTAATACTGCATGCAGGTCGAGTTGAAGGAAAAGTACAGGTTCCGCATCATTCTGGACGAAACATGGTCATTTGGCGTCCTTGGCCGGACTGGTCGCGGACTTACCGAGGCACAAAACGTTGACCCCTCCCAGGTGGACATGATCGCGGGTTCCCTCGCTGGACCCCTGTGCGCCGGTGGCGGCTTTTGCGCTGGTGCTAAGGATGTTGTCGAGCACCAGCGTCTTACAGCGGCGTCTTACACTTTCTCCGCTGCCCTGCCTGCCATGCTTGCCGTTACGGCCAGCGAGACTCTCAGTGTTCTGCAGTCTAACCCAGATATCCTTGCGCAGTGTCGGGACAACACCAAAGCTATGAGGGCGCAACTAGACCCCCGCAGCGATTGGGTCGTCTGCACAAGCTCGCCGGAGAACCCCATCATCCTACTCGTGCTCAAGGCTGAGGTCGTTGCGGCGCGCAAGCTGACAAGGGAGGACCAGGAACGCTTGCTGCAGGACTGCGTTGATGAGGTAAGTCAGGCTATCGTTGTTGGTATTCCCGAAGTCATTGCTAACTAATTCGTACTTTCAGGCGCTCGCCAATGGGGTTCTCATCACACGCCTGAAGAGCATGCCTATTGCCAACAACCTCGATCCTAAGGACAACAGCTGGCAGATCCAACCGGCGCTCAAGGTGTGCATCACCACAGGCTTGCCGAGAAAAGATATCGAGAAGGCTGGTGTCACGATCCGACACGCCATCACCAAGGTTATGACTAGGAAGTCGAGCTCCAAATCGTCATAACGTCGTCCGCGCCAGAAACTGAATCGCGTTATGACATGTGCAAGACTGAGTGACCTGGGAGGGTGACTATGTCCTCAAGGGCACTGTTCGCTAGATGGGTTCAGTCGAACCATTCAAGATAGATAAGGGTGCCCGGAGGCCGTCGGCGTATCCTTTCTGCCTTGCCCTTGGATCGAGAAGACACTCGGGGCAATTCAGGCGGTCGGGTAACTCGAATACCTCGCAAAGTTGCTGGTATTTCATGTAATGAAAGATAAATACTGATAATTAATAGAACATGAATTCGTAGCCAACATCACAGCTTCGGATGATGTCCGTCGCGCAACTTTTGAGACACTCTGGACAAGAATGGCACAGCCGAGAGATCAGTAGGGCAAGCAAAGGCTATGCTGGCCATCAAAGGACGAGGACGGGTGAAGTAAAGCCCACGCGCCCACTTCCTGTTTACATACCAACGCCGGATCCGGCATTGGGGTCTAGCCGCCCGGTCTGGTCATACACTGCCAACCACCAGCAATCTCTAGCGATGCGGCCCGAGATTCTAGTCTCTTGTCGAACCTTTTGCTCCTTTTTTCTTCTTTCACCTATCAAAGCTGAAGAAGTCCAGGTTTCCACAACTTCGGGCCCTATGGGCGTTCCAGACTACCGTCAGACCTCGGTGAGACACGCGCTGCCACCAGCGTCCTGCCCTCATCCGACTGCGTCAATGGGCTTTGAGGTGTGAACTATGTCTTATGTTCCGTGGCATGCTAAGTCGTCCCTCGACCAAATTTGAAGCTCGCATTTGGCAGACACGTCCTTGACGGCCCGGCACCCTACCCTACGTTTGGGCCGGGAGACCTTCTGGATCTTTGTCTATCCAAGGCTCGCCTAGGCTTCTTTGAGGCCGCTTTCAGTCGATGGGCTCCAGTGTTGGATTGAGAGAAGGATTCGTCCATTCTGGGCTTGCGTCTCTGCTTCTTCCTTTGGGGCGGAAAGTCGGGGGCAATCTAATCTAGACTTTGGCTATAGGAATTCACTGGTTTGCTTCGTTTGATATAAACACCTTCGGCCTTGTTCGTCCTTACCATATATTAGACACTCGATCTCATCACGCACTCCTTCAATCATTTGAGAAGACCGGGTCGATCATTACCTATCATTAGCTGTCTTTTGCTTCCCAAGCAGACCACCACTCCTTTGCAAAAGCATCCATATCAAAATACGAAGGCTTCGATCTGATTCCGCAACGCTGCCTTGCCTCACTGTAAGTCTATCAACAGGCCTCTTCTTCAAGCCCCAGGGCTTCATGTCAATAGGAGATCGGCAATTCCAGCGCAAACTACTGGCCTACGTTGCAAGATAAGGATTGCCAAGGTTGACATTCTTGACCACTATCGCTCTAGGCACCGGTTTCATATTGTCCCCCCGGCCAGCTTGGAGAATTAAATACCGATATAACAAAGTCGGTCCGTTTGGGGGTATTACTACAGCCCTGGGGTCAAGTCACCACCAATTGGGACTGAGTACAAGACGGTGCCCAATATTCGGTGAACCAACGTTTACGACGACGTCAATAGTCCAAGCCAGGCGAACCTGATCCAGGAGGTGAGTTATGAGATTGTTGCTTTTATCTTTTCGTTATGGATTAGTTCTTGTAGGAACTCCCCGGGGGCCGGGTGGTGTTTTCTTTCGCCCCTTCTTGTTGCACATTGAGACCAACATTCCTGCCCAGTGCTGAGTCCTCCCTCCCCTCCTTTCCTCCCTCGGCCCATCACCTAACCACAGCTTTGCATGGTTTCATTACCCCGTTCCTGCTTCTCTTGGTATTTTGGTCAATGCCACAGGAGAAGGCGAGGTTCCTGCTGCTTGTCCTCTTTCGATTGGTTGGTCAATCTAGTCAAAGAGAGTCAGGCGCCATAGACGCAGCAACGGCTAGCAAGGACACACACTACTTGACTATGCCATACCCCCCTCTCGGCCCCATCATGTTTTTCTCTCCATCTTCTGATTTTCGTCCTTCGTTCTGAATTGTTGCCTATTGCCATTGGCCTCGTGGAACTCTGAAGCTGTCTTGACAGCGATCCGCTCCTTCCTGTTGATGATTTTGTTTTCCTTCTAGTCACTCATTGCAACCTACCATTCTTTACCCTCTTTTGGCTTGATAGCTCACAATTTTCCCGTCGTAACAGATTTCAGCCTTGTGCAAGGGCTTCCGCCAACATCTGCTCGGGTGTTCCAATCCTGCCTATCTTTAACCTAGAATCACCGCCCGCACTCTGTCAGATCCTTGAAAGGATGAAACCAGCCGGTCTCTCTTCAGCGCTGGTCCTCATACTGGTTGAGCTCTCTGCCGCTCACCCCCAAGGTAAGATAGCGCCCAGCCTACCTGTTAATGCCGAGCATATGATCCTGATATGTGAACATAGGCACTAGAGATGTCAAGGGTTCGATTGTTCAGCCTCAATATACCATCATCACCGAGTCGTCCCTGACAGAGCCCATCGAGGCCCCCCAAGTCATTGTTTACGTCGACGAAAAGGGTGCACCTTTGGAGACAGCCACTGAGACAGTCCGCTTCGTGCCAGCCTCTCGATCAATCATCCATCCCTCCAAGCCTTTGGAGTTGGGAACCCGCTCTGGAGATGTCGTTTTTCGGGCCACCTCTTCATCCTCTAATGACGCCCCAGGTTCCCCTCTCGCAACCTCAAGTACTTCAGCTGTCGCTACTTCATCGTCATCTTCTTCATCATTTCCTTCGGCTCATTTTACTCCAAACACCACTCTCCCTGGCATCGCCTATGCACCCTACACGGCGACGGGGCAATGTAAAACAGCTGAGCAGATGGATGTCGACTTCGCCAAGCTCGAGGGAAAATACTCGGTGGTCCGCACCTACGGCACCGACTGCAACCAGATCGCCAACGCTCTTCCTGCAGCCAAAAAAGCCGGTGTGAAACTCTTTTTGGGTATTTTCGACATCAGCTCAATCCCTGCCCAGGTTGCAACTATTGTTTCAGCCGTCAGTGACAACTGGTCCCTTATTGACACTGTCAGTGTCGGTAACGAGTTGGTCAACAACGGCAAGGCTACAGCGCAGCAAATGGTTACCGCCGTGGGGCAAACGCGCCAGCTTCTCCGCGCTGCCGGCTACACCGGTCCAGTTGTCACAGTTGACACCTTCGTAGCGGTCCTTGCCTACCCCGAGCTGTGCGACGCATCAGATTACTGCGCGATGAACATTCACCCATTTTTTGACAGTAACACGGCGGCGAAGGATGCAGGTTCCTTCATCACCCGGATGGTCGGCGAGGTTCAGTCCAAGCTCTCGGACCGAAACAAGCGCATAGTCTGCACGGAGACCGGGTGGCCGTGGAAGGGGAACGCCAATGGCGCTGCCATACCCGGAATTGAAGAGCAGCAGCTGGCTGTCGACTCGATCAAGAAGGCGTATGCGAGCCATATGGCTGATGTCATTCTCTTCTCGGCCTTTAACGATCTTTGGAAACACGCCGAGGCAGCAACTTTCAATGCCGAGCAGTACTGGGGCATCGGAGCTCTGTACTCGGATTCTGGCAGATGAGCAACAGGACGAAAACAAATGCAACGGGTCAATGATTTGTATCGAGATCCGGGCGGGCCATGGATAAGGTAGTTTCACACGATGTCTGGTTGAGATGGTGGATATTCAATAAATTCATTCCTACCTATCATCTACAAATTCTTATGTGCTGCCTCTGGCTGAGCACCTGCGTGGCGACCAGTGTGCTTCCATAAACTAGGTACGAATTCCAATCCGTCAAGTATTCTTCCTCGTCATTCAGTTGTGTCTTTTAGACTCAGTTGTCTAGACTACAGGTGGAGAGAATGATACGCACTGGGGATCTTGGAAGGAGGATTTCCCACTGACGTTTGACCATGGTCATTGCCCTCTTGATCCCTGGCCACGAACCCAGGTTGTGTTTGTCATGATAAATCCGACATGCCTTCCAAATTTCTCTTTCCGGCGCAAGGCTGACTAATTTCATGCCTCGCGCTGGAGTCATGGAAATACCATGGGTTCTGGGTTCGACTTGTCAGTATTTTAATCATTTCGCTGTAGCAACCCGTATTATTTTATCATTCAGATAGTTCGCCCTCGCTTAACGCTTCCGAATAGGCCAATCAAAGACGGTCTGGTTGGTGCAACGCAACATCGCTGATCTCACCCATAACGGGCAAGGAAAATTACAATTGCAGGCTCTCCAAATTGTAACCATAAGAAACAATTTACTTGCAATACATGTTCCTGTTCTACGGTACTGTTGAAGATTCGCGTGAGATTATATATATGACGGCAAGTCCCATTAACCTTTGTATGCATGGTCTCCCACGAGAACTTCCCGTCCATCCTTCCTCTCCAAGGTCCTCCAGCAGCTATTGCCATCTTTACGGACGATGACATCCCAGCTGAAGGCTTGCAAGATCTGGCACTTCATGTCGGGAACCACCGACTAGTTGTCGTTGCACGTGGGGACGAGGTACTCGGCGCCGTCCGCAACTAATACATAGAGGTAGAGCTCTTTTGTGGCCCAGTCCTGCAAAGAGAGCAATGCTACGATAGCAGCTAATTTGACTGCAATCAACCATCCAAGCTAAGGCCACTAGCTTGCCACTAACAGTCCTCTGATAGCTAATGCCACCCAGATGGCTGAAGTTCCCACGAGGCTCCAAGCGACGTCGCAGATGCGCTTTGTGTCGTTGAAGCATGTGTGCTTCTCCAGGGCAGCACCAAGCTCGGCAACAGAAGGCGCGTCGAGGTTCACTCTGGAGTAGTCGGCGGAGTTGCAAGTGTTTAGCTCAGACTATGCCTACTTTTCGCCATAGCCTGGCATTGGTTGCTCCGTTTGTGCCACCAAGAAAGACATCATTCCTTGGAGGATGGATTCCGGTTATCCGCATGAGCATTTATTCTGCCACTCATGCGTTGAATAGCGGTTTTCAAAGGCCTACGTGGGTAGTCGTCAAGATGCGACATGTGACCAGTCACGTGGACGACGCATGAATTTTTAGGTTTCTGACAGTTGTACAGATACCTGGGCCTCAGTTTGTAGTCGGTGGTAAGGTAGCTTAGTACAGACAACAATCCTTTAATAAAAACCGACTCTCCTGTCGCCGACGTACGATGCATGGTGGAATCCTTGATACAACTCAATTCGCGAACTTTATGGGAAAGTGTAGGCCTACAGCTTCTATGACCTAATTATAGATGGGTATGGTGAGCCCGACGAGCACTGTTCCTCACATGATTTCTGGCATCAATAGTGGGTGGCAGTGACAGCGGCCTCCGATCACCCGACAAGGGACCAAAACGAAAAAGACATTCCCGCCTTGTAATAACATTAGAAGTTCGACCTGTCTCGGCTCTCCGCACCGCAGCGCCTGCCTATGAATGTACTGCGTACGCTATGCCTAGCCCACATCCAATTCCAGGCAAGGTTGTTCTCGATGAGCGGCAGTGTAGTGAGGGAGTGTACACTACTTGGGCTAATGGAAGCAGAGGGGGACCCTGCCGGCTTGCTTGCTTACCTTAGACATTCAGATATCCAACATGTGGTACCACCATGCAGGAGCGCTCTTTCCTCATCCTACTCTTTTTGTTCTTCCCCGGCGCGCTTTCTTCACCCTTGAAAGCCGATGACTGCTTCCCTCTCTCGCTCGTTCAATTGAGGCCAAGGGATTATCTCAACCATTTCTCCCGCCTCAGTCGCAACTCGGACTGTCGCAACTCCAATGGCCACCGCCGTCGACGTTCCTGTGGCCACCGCAGGATTGGCACCACGTGGAATCCCTACAAAGACGAGGGAATACCCGCTCATGTCACGCCGCCAAATCGAAGGCTTGATTGCTCAGGGCAAAGTCGTCACAATTGTTGATCAATTCGTCCTCAAGCTGGATGGGTGGCTGCCGTACCATCCTGGCGGCGATAAGGCCATCCAGCACATGGTCGGGCGGGATGCCACCGACGAAGTTACAGTGTATGCGTCTCCACGCGTTTTTGACCTGCACTCTTCTCCTCAACGCCAATGGCTGACCTGGATTTCAACACTGCAGACTTCACTCCCCGGAGGCCAAAGCACAGATGATGAGGTATCGAATTGGAAGGATCGAGGGACACTGGAGGAATTTTATGCCGCCTATCCAGGGAGGCAAGTTCAGGAATCTCGACGAGGGCGGCTCTGACATGAGCGCCACCAAAGTCAAAAGCAACCTGCGTTTCTTTGGGACCTCCTCCCCCAGCGATATCAGTTCTCGCGAAGCTTCCCCCGTCTTCGACACCTCATATACCTCTGTCCGCCGTAGACACGGTGCGGCTTCTGTCTCTCCGGCCACCTCAGCAACCGACGATGACGACGAAGACGACGACGACGAAGACGACGACGACGAAGACGACGACGACGAAGACGACAAGGAAATGGACGGGACAGCGTTTCTCGACTCTGAGACACGCAAGCGTATACGCCTTGACCTCGATAAATACCCTGCCCTGGACGACGAGACGCAGTCGGAGATTGTGCGTAAGTACAGGCTCCTTGACGAGCGCATCAAGGTGAAAGGGCTGTACAATTGCAATTACCGTGCCTACGCCATCGAGGTGATGCGTTTTGCGCTCCTCTTTGCTGGCATGCTGACTTTCTTGCGTTGGGGGTGGTATTTTCCCAGTGCCGCCTGCCTAGGCTGCTTCTGGCACCAGCTTGTCTTCTCTGCTCACGATGCTGGTCACATGGGCATCACCCACAATTTCCACCTAGATACATGCATCGGGATTTTCATCGCTGACTTCATGGGCGGCCTGTCCATCGGTTGGTGGAAGCGAAATCACAACGTGCATCACATCGTCACCAACTCCCCAGAGCACGACCCGGATATCGAGCATCTACCCTTCTTTGCTGTGTCTCACCGTTTCCTTGGCAACTTGGCGTCGTCCTATTACGAGCGCATAATGGAGTATGACCTCGCGGCCAAGCTCTTTCTGTCAGTGCAGTCGTATCTGTACTACCCTATCATGCTATTCGGCCGCTTCAACCTTTATAGGCTCTCGTGGGACCACCTCATTATGGGTCGCGGCCCCAGGAAGGGCATCGCCTGGTGGCACCGCTGGCTCGAACTAGCCGGTCAGGCCTTCTTCTGGGCCTGGTTTGGCTATGGCATTGTCTACAAGTCTATCCCCTCCAACTGGGACCGCTTCGTCTTTGTAATCGTCAGCCACATGTTTCAAGCGCCGTTACACGTCCAGATCACGCTATCTCACTTCGCCATGAGCACAGCCGACCTGGGCCCCCACGAGTCGTTCCCACAAAAGATGTTACGCACTACTATGGACATTGACTGCCCTTCCTGGCTTGACTTCTTCCACGGAGGATTGCAGTTCCAGGTTGTGCACCACTTATACCCGCGTATCCCACGGCACAACCTGCGTGAGACGCAAAGGCTTGTACAAGAGTTTTGCAATGACGTAGGTATCCCCTACGCCCTGTATGGCTTCATCGACGGCAACAAGGACGTTATCGGTCGGCTTGCGGAGGTCTCTCGACAGGCGGCCATCTTTGCGAAATGCCAAAAGGTTGCTGCCAATCAAATCCACGGCGGCCACACTCACTAACCCCATCTGATCTGACAAACTCTTGTATTCTTGTCGCGGTCCTCGCTCTTGTTGTCTGGCTGTGAACAACTTGGGGACGTGGAAAAGAGCTCCCTCATAACCAGTGCAGAGAGAAGAAAGAGGCATGTGGGATGTGGGCATCCAATGTCCTCGAAGCCTGTGGTATTCGAACTAAGACAGTCTGTAATGTCTAGAACTCAAGCTAATTTTTGCCTCATGTGCAGTTGTGTATGCATGTGGTTGTATGAGTCAAGCTGAGTTGCGTGGCATGCTTTGTGCTACTCAGGACGGAGGGACATGAGAAATTGAGAGCATGATTTTCCGTTCCTTACAGTGACCTCATTGGATAGTGGGTGTTGTCTATTCCGATGATGTTGGATTTGCGTCTTGATTTCGAGCCACGGCAGAAGAGTCTCTTATAACTGGGCTCTATGCTTTAAACACTTGTAGATTCTGGAGACGAGGTGAGAATGCCGACATCGGAAACAACACGTTCAGCGAACACCTCTTTCCAAAGCATCTTAGGGTTTTCATAGCCCTGAGCTATGGGAAATAGGGAAATGGACTCGGATTCGCAAGACCCGAAGTAACAAATTAATTGCCCGGGATGGCCGGTGTGCGGGCAATGGGCACCCACAGAATGACCAACAACGAGATGAGCGGGACGGATTCGCCATAGACGCTCATGCGAACAGAAACAATCAGCCATCAAGCAGAGACCAGTAAGGGGCCAGTCCAACTATGAAAACGAACACGACGATAAGAGGGAGAGTTGAGGGGCGTTTTTTATTATTATTATTGAATTGAAGAGCGGGGTGCAGATACGGAATCAGAGGCCGTTGACTAGAACAACTTGGGAATTCTACCTACGACATGACAGATCCGGACATTCTCGGAAGGCGTGGACGACGGAACCATAACTACGAAAGTGTTGGAGAAGGAAGTGGATGAGTTCTAGAAGAAAGGGACATAATCTGCCCAGGTCGACACAAAGCACTGGACTTTTGGGGGCGGAGCTTTTCAACGTAAGTAGCCGGGATCAGCGCTGTATTCTACATCATGTCTTTGCACTAGAAGTCAGTATTCGCTAGATGGGATGAGTTTCCATTGGCTCATACTGCGATCTGTATTCAACTTGTCATCTCTTCTTTCGACGGAGGGGCGTTTATAGAATTGGTAGTCATTTGGCAGGAACGCGTTGCATTGTATGCCAGGAACGTTGATAGGAGATGGAGTGATATTAGCTGGCTCCAGGTCTCCGGTTGCATCTACCATCCCAGATGCCAATAAGATGGCACCTGTTGGCGGAAACCGATCGATGGCAGCCGTCCTTTTCTTTACTGTCCTGCCCTGGAGGTGAAGGTGAGGAGAAGGAAGAGAAAACAAAGATACGTACCTACATACGTTCGGGTAGGTACCTACTCTGTAGAACATGTATGTACTCTATACCTCCCTCACACCCCTGCTTCCTTCTGGTGGATGCCGTGTCCTATTGGACCTCTCGTCTCCCACTGTGACGCCGCACTCCATCTGCATCTGCAGACTAGTGTTTTGTTTTGTCCTCGACTCTACCTAATCCCACCTCTTTCGACATCCCAAGCCTGAAATTGTTGCTTGACGTCTCTCTCTCTCTCTCTGCCTGCTCCATCCGCCATCCGTGCTCGTGCTCGTGCTCGCGCCCTGGCCGCAGCCTCATCCCGTTAACGCGCACGCAGCCCATCATCACCTCCTGTCTCGACTACTTTGGCTTTGGGGCTCTTGTCCCCCTACACTACACTACCGACTTTCTTCCTTCGTCTCCTGGCATCCACCTATTTCCCCACAAGAGAGACTACGTACCGTTACGTATTGGGACCCCGGAGTGAACCCAGCTCAACACCGCTCAATTTTGGAACTCGTCTCAACTCAGTTCTGCCCCAGCCTCGCATCACGACGTACCAGGAGATGACCTCGTTGTTGCTATCTCGACCTCGGCATCAAACATGGACGTCAGCATTCAGAGAGCTCTCAACGACAAGCTCTACGACAAGCGCAAGGTCGGCGCACTCGAGTACGTCTCTCTCCAAACCCCCTTTCTGACTGACCAATACTACCATGACTTCCACTTTTCATCTTGATTGGATTCCATTAATTATGGTCTGACTTTACTATATACTTACCTCTTGACCCTTGTAGGCTGGAACGAGTCATCCGAGAACTCGTCGTAACGAAGGATTACCCCAGAGTCCAGGCCATCCTCGAGCAGCTTTGCAATGAGTTTGCCTACGCCGTCCATCAGCCCCATGCCAGAAACGGAGGGTTGATAGGGCTGGCTGCAGCTGCCATTGCTCTTGGTCATGTAAGTATGCCCCCTCTTCTCATTCTCCTCTGATCAACCCGCGCCGGTCGATATATCCTCCCTTGTCTCTCTGCTGGCCCCCGTTCGGGGGCCCGTTCGGGTACCCATCTTATCGTTTCTATTTTCATTTTCGTTCTCAGGCCCGCGTCACTGCGGCTGACGCTTCTCCCAGGAGTTGCCCCGTTATCTCGAGAAGATCGTGCCCCCAGTTCTTGCATGCTTCACCGATCAAGATGCCAGAGTCAGATACTACGCATGCGAAGCCATGTACAATATTGCCAAGGTCGCCAAAGGAGAGATATTGATTTACTTCAACGATATCTTTGACGCTCTCTGTAAGGTAAACCGCCCCCACTCCCGCCACTCACCCTGCACCCCACGCACATCCTTGACTGACCTTGACGCCTTAGCTGGGAGCAGACTCCGAGTTATCCGTTAAAAACGGTGCCGAGCTGCTCGATCGTCTCATCAAAGACATTGTCTCTGAATCAGCTGCTTCATACGTTTCCGTTCTTGAGGGAGAACTGGGTCAAGATATACCCGACAAGGATGAGCTCCAAGACCGCCCGCCTCCTCCCACCGCCTTCTCCTTGCGCCGCTTCATTCCACTCCTTCAGGAGCGCATTTGGGTGATCAATCCCTTCACCCGTCAATTTCTGGTTGGCTGGATCACATTGCTTGATTCCATTCCCGACCTGGAACTTGTCACTTTTCTTCCCGACTTCCTGGCAGGCTTGCTCAGGTTCTTGAGCGACCCAAATAGAGATGTACATGTGGCAACGAGGGCTTGCCTCGACAAGTTTCTCAGCGAGATCAAGAGAATATCTAGGATCAAGAAAGGCATTGCCGAGAGCAAAAAGTCGCGCGAAGGTGGCAAACGCAAGCGCGAGGAATCGGTCGATTCGGATAGTGTTCAGATCGGTCCCGAAGAAGGTGATGAAATTGACTCTCAAACAGACGATAGTGAGAGCAGTGGCGAGGAAGACTGGATACCCGGCCAAGACGTTCAGATCAATTACCGAAAGATCCTCGAGATACTGACCGCTACTCTTGATTCTCCGCTTGGTGAGTTACCACTAAACAACTAAGAATTCTATTCCACGTGTGTGGACACAGCTGACTAACATTCTAGAAGAGGATTCTCTCTTAGAGTCTCTACGATGGATCGTCGAGTTCTTGGATATCTGCCCAGAAGAAGTGCTGCCGTTTACTCCAAAGGTTCTGGCCCACATGCTGCCTGCTATGGCCAGCGGCGTCGAATCCATCCGCCAAGCTGCTGCTCGTGTCAATGCTGGTCTGATGGACTATGTGGTCTCCCTATCTGACGAACCTGAAATCGGCGGTCATTCTCACTCAACGTCACGCATTCCCGTTTCTGGCGAAAAACAAGAGGGCCCCTCTAGTGCGCGGGCTTCTCTATCTAGTTCGCGAGACCTCGAACTGAGGAGCCCAACCCCGGCCCAGGGCCACAACCGCTCCCTCTCAACTCCGAACCCACCGTATGCAAGCAACCATCCCCAGGTGGATCTGGACTACGCTGCAGCAGTGAACGCCTTGACACTTCTATTTCTCAACGATCATGAGGCGACCCGTGTTGCTGCCTTGACATGGTTGATCATGCTTCACAGAAAGGCCCCTAGAAAAGTGCTCGCCTTCAATGACGGAACTTTCCCTGCCCTGCTTAAGACGCTTTCTGATCCAGCCGAAGCCGTTGTTACCAAGGATCTGCAACTTCTCTCGCAGATCTCTCGGAATAGCGAAGACGACTACTTCTCCAATTTCATGGTGAACCTACTGCAGCTGTTTGCTACTGACAGGAAACTGCTCGAGACACGAGGGAATCTAATCATCCGCCAGCTTTGTGTCAGCCTAAGCGCGGAGCGGATCTATCGTACACTCGCAGATTGCATAGAGAAGGAGGAAGACGTCGAGTTTGCTAGCATCATGGTACAGAACCTGAACAACAATCTCATCACGGCCCCGGAGCTTTCAGAACTTCGAAAGAGACTTCGCAATCTCGAGTCAAAAGTAAATGAGTCGGCTCTTTCTCTAATTCTCCAGCTGCTGACGACATTTGTCTAGGATGGCCAAACATTCTTCGTTGCCCTTTTCCGCTCGTGGTGCCACAATGCCGTCGCTACGTTTTCCCTTTGCCTGTTGGCACAAGCTTACGAACAGGCGTACAATCTCCTGCAGATTTTGTGAGACCTCGCAATCCAACTTACATTCTGCATTGGGCTAAACAGACGACATAGTGCCGAGCTCGAGATGACGGTGAACATTCTCATCCAGATAGATAAGCTGGTTCAGTTGATAGAGTCTCCTGTGTTCACTTGTAGGTTTATCATGGCTTATCGTAGCTATTGGTTCGTGAGCTGACATGCTCAAGACCTTCGACTGCAGTTACTAGAGCCGGAGAAGTTTCCCCATTTGTACAAGTGTCTATACGGTCTCTTGATGCTTCTCCCACAATCCTCAGCCTTTGCGGCCCTCAAGAACCGCCTTAACGCCGTCAGTTCCATTGGTTATCTTCATATTGCTCCCAAAGTGTAAGTGCTACCTACGACAACCCCTCACACCATAGTTGCTCGACTCTGTGTATCATCTGTAACAAAAGCCTGACAACACTTGGCAGTAGCCCTCCATCTGCCACCAGTTCAACCTACGACAGGCCGAATAGACTCAAGAGTCGGGAAGATAGTATTATTCGATGGAATGAGTTGCTAGAGAAGTTCCGGACCGTGCAAGAAAGGGCCCGACGAGCCCAGAGGCACTCTGGTGATCTCGATGATGGCCGAAGCAGCCTTGGAGTCGCGGACCTGCGCCTTGGGGAAGGCCTTGACATAAAAGGCCCCAAAGAGGCACGTAATTCGAGCGGGCCGCCAGTCCCTACCAAGGACCCTCCTCCGCCAGTTGCACCGCCGGCAGCCAAGAGGTCGGGTCTCGGGATGAGGCAGATCAGGAACCTGGGGGGCGCAGTCAGGGGAAAGCGGCCCGGTTGATGCTCTACAGCAAAAGACTCAGTGTCTTTAACGAATAATTGTTATAATACCCCTCGGCATAGGTAGACGGAAATCAGCCCGTGTCTATATTGTGGACCGTATCAGAGTAGGAAACTTATAATTAACTGCCCTTGCGAGGGCTTTCACGCTCAACAAGACCCTCAAAGATGGCGTCGCGGTGGCGTGTAATGGCGAGAACCTCTGCGCGGAGATGCTCGAGTTCGGCCCTGGCCGTCTTCACATCATCGGGGAGGCCGGAGAATTGATCGACATCTTCTTCCAAGCTCTTCTTTTCAGCCAGGAGGCCGAGGTAACCGGCTTCTTTCTGCGCCATTTGCTCGATCGTGGGATGAGAAGCTATGGTATACTGGCTGAGGTTAGAAATGCGGTCCCTGAGCTCGGGCATACGCGCTGCCATGGCTTTGACCCTCCTTTGCATCTCCAGATTCTGGCGGGCCAGGTCGTTGGCAGGCTTGTAATCGTCGCTGTGCAGGGTCCGTAGCAGCTCATCGGCTGCGGCCGACTCTTGATCAATGTATTTCTGAAGAATATGCACACGGACTCTCGCCTGTTCCACGTCTGAGGCTTCAGCGTGCAAACCAATCATAGAGCGGCCGAGAGCTTCAGCATCTGGATAGGCGACGGTGAGCTGACACGATAACGTGGCCATGGAGTTGAGGGCGGTGCGTCCTTCCCGTGTAAGGTGATCTTGAACGGCACCGAGCATCATCTCCCGGGCGGCATCGGAGGCCGGCAGTTCTGGATTGGTTTCGAGTAGGTCCTGCGTGGCGGCAAGGTCATGAATGGCGCCAATCTCGGCCGAGGCGACTAGCTCGCGCTCCTCGTCGGCGTTCTCGTTTGAGTTGGCAAGTGCGAGAAGGGCTTTTAGCGTCTCGGAATTGCGTTCGAAGGAAGGGACTGGGCGGCCCTGGTACTTCGAGGCGAGCCAGCTGCCAACGTAACTCCAATCTTTGGCGGTGGAGGCGGCGATGCGAGCTATTGATGGCGAGAATATAGCGGTTGATGGCGGGAGGTGAGCCATGTTGGGTTGCGGTGAGATTCGTGTTTTCTCTCTCATACAGAACTGTGCGAGATTTGTTTTACTCCTTTTTTCTCTTTTAGTGGCTTTCTTTTTTGTTGTTGTTGCAAGTCATGTACACACATGAACCGGCTCTTGGGGTTTCCTTCTACATTGATTCGTGCCTCTTTGTGACCGCAGACAGAACAAGTAGACTAGGTACCTAAGTATGTTGTCACAGTCATTAGCGCGATGTTAACTCGCCCACAATTTTGCGGTTCTGGGGGCCGATGAGAGCTCAGTGGGCGATGAATGGTCAAGCGAAGGGGGTGGGGTACCTCCATGCGGATGACATTCAGCGGGAGATGCTATCCCCTGCAGAGACGCGCGAGTGGGGCCAGTCTGGGTGCGTCTTTGTTCTGGACACCTCAGCGCGTCGTGTTCAATGACGGAACAAGTTTGCGACTTAACAATGAGTAGGTACTCTCTATTAGGGTAGGGGAGGGTCTCCGATCTGCCCCAATCTGGAGGTAAGCACATGGAGCGGGAGGCTTGACCGTCGTGTCCAGTTCTGGTACGTACTAGAATGAATGAAAGAAGCCATTTAAGGCTACCTACCAATATATAGCACTTGGAGTCTGTCAATAACGACAGGGGCCTTGCCACAGTAAGCCAGTTAAGGGCTACATACTCCACACGCCTTTTGCATACCTATCCAGTTGTATCTTTGATCCCATCATAGCTTGGCTTTATTTGAGGACAACTTTTCCAATTGCCCTCTTATGCCCCCTCCATTTATTCCTCCTCGCTCAACCGGGTTCTGATTTTGTGGCTTCCTCTTCAACCTTTTCATCTTTTCCTCTGTTGTTGTTACTGTCCATTAGCCTACAGACCTTCGTTTTCCCACCTGGCGCCAGCAATGTACGTCCGCCTTTGTGCCCTGGCTTTCGCAGCCAGCCTGCTCTCGTCGCCAGTCCTTGCCATCACCACCGATGAGATCCCCTCCGATACCCCTGTTTCCTCTCTCCTGGCCACCGCTCAGTCCCATCTTTCCAAGGGTCAGACGTCCGATGCTCTCGTATACTACGATGCCGCTGTTGCCCGCGATCCCTCCAACTATTTGACGCTGTTCAAGCGCGCGACGACATATCTCTCCCTCGGCCGCACCAACCAAGCCACCGACGATTTTAATAGAGTACTCTCGCTCAAGCCCGGCTTCGAGGGAGCGCATGTGCAGCTGGCCAAGATCAAGTCTAAGACCGCAGACTGGGATGGCGCAAGAGAACAGTACATCCTCGCCAGGAAGGACCCCACCTCGCCTGAACTCGTCGCTCTCGATGAGGCCCAGGGTGCTGCCCGTCTCGCTGAGATGGCCGAGAAGAGTGGTGACTGGGAGGCCTGCGTGGGGCATGCTGGTGAAGCCATTATGACCGCCAACAGGGCTATTTCCCTGCGTGAAATGAGATCGCGCTGTCGTTTCCAGCGCGGCGAGGTCGAGGAGGGTATGGGCGACCTGCACCATGTCCTGCAGATGAGGCCCGGCGACACATCGCCGCACATCACAATCGCCGCTATTACCTTCTACGCACTTGGCGATTTACAGAACGGCATGGCCCAGACAAGAAAGTGCTTGCACTCTGATCCCGACTCCAAGTCATGCAGGAAACTTCTAAAGCAACAAAAAGCCATTGAGAAAACTTTGGCCAGAGTCAACAAGGCGTTCGACAAGAACCAGCCCATGACTGGTGTCAAGCTCCTGATCGATTCCGCTGACGAGACTGGCTTGATCACTAATATCAAGAAACAAGTTGAAGACCTCAAGGCTGACGGTGCCATCCCTTCTGCTGCCCAGTCATCTCTGTACATTCAGGTGGCGGAAATGGTGTGCCAGGGCTACTACGAGGTAAGTCAACCAGATTACAAAACTTACTTTGATCACTATATGCTTATGCAATCGTCATAGATGAACGGCAAGAAGGCCAAGCAGTACTGCGAAGAAGCTCTTACTCTCAATCCCCAGTCATTCTACGGTCTCCTACATCGCGCCAAGATCATGATGGAGAAGGAAGAGTTCGATGCAGCCATCAAATCGCTCGAGGAAGCCAGCAGCATCCGACCTGGCAAGAACGATGTCGTTCAGCCCTTGATGCAGAAGGCTCAGATCGCGGCTAAGAGGAGCAAGACCAAGGACTACTACAAGGTACTCGGCGTGGCACATGATGCCGACGAACGACAGATCAAGCAAGCCTACCGCAAGCTCTCCAAGATCCACCACCCCGACAAGGCCGCCAAGCAGGGGCTGACCAAGGAGGCGGCCGAGAAGAAAATGGCGGCCATCAATGAAGCCTACGAGGTGCTCAGCAATCCGGAGCTCCGCGAGAGGTTCGACCGAGGCGACGACCCGAACAACCAGGAGCAAGGCAGTCCCTTCCAAGGCAATCCATTCGGCGGCGGCCACCCGTTCATGTACCAACAGGGTGGCGGCGGGAGCCAGCAGTTCCACTTCAAGTTTGGGGGAGGTGGCGGCGGCTTCCCATTCTGAAGGAGGTCGACGCCCGCCGATTGTTATTCGTTGGAAAGTATCACGGCATGGATTAAGGAGTTTCATAGGTCAAAACCTGGAGTTTACGGTGGCCCCGCCCAACAGATAACATCATCTTTTATCGTCATTCATAGTTTAGGCACAAGGCACAGCGCCAAGTCTAAGGCTTGGAGAGGATCGTCGATCAGACGCTCTGCCGCGTGTGGTCGGACGGCTTAGTCTTCTTGTTTGTTCAATGTATAAGGATTGCATACATGTGTCAACACCAAAGTATGGCTAGAGCAGACGTGAGACAAGTCAGCAAACATGTTGAGTGGCAAATGATCGGCTGTTGACTCCAAGTACACTTTGTTGCCGCCAAGACACAGCAAGAGACAGATAGAGCTGCACCTATGTGATGCCTCGAGTTGTACCAGACTGCTGTTTTGCTGCTGGCTTATGACGTCAACAATTACTCAAACATGTCACGTAGGGTCGCGCAAGTTGGAGTAGAGTAAGAGAAACGGGATTCCGGATTAGCATATCGGTAAATCCGTCCGTAGGCACGCCAACTCCAGACAGATCTGTTATTTTCCGACGCCAACATGTTGAATATCCTTTCAAATTGAACACTTTGCCAAACCACCGGTCCTCCAACACCAAGTACAGCCGGCTTGAGAGACTCACAGTGTCAGCCCTCACGTTGCAACCCAGAGGGGTCTGTGCGGAAGCCCTCGCTGGATGGATTTTTGACGTGCCTCTTATGAGCTTCTTTACTGGAAAGCCACTTCCCTAGTGGTCAACCACCCCGCGAGCTCGACTCAGCCTTCTAAAAATTTACACGACCGTTCTAATCGGTGATCAAATCGTCAGGGAAGTCCCTTTCTATGTGCACAGCGGCGAGCCATTTCAAGGACTCGGGTTGTCATTTCGCGCAATGAAGTAAGCCCTGCAAAGTCAAATTGTCAGTGTATTCCCAGGCAGAATAAGTGGCCATAACTTACTTGCAAGCCTCGTAGGCGGACCAGCATATGGCAGTGCTGGGCATAGTGGTAACAACACGAGGGCGCACACCCTTGAAGAAGCCACGGAAACCCTCACGCTCGTACAGTAACCTGCAGCCGGCCATGAACCCATTCACGTTTCTCAGTGCCGGGTCGTTAGCCGTTCCTCGAGTCTGAAGCATGGTCTTGATAACGTCCATAGGTGTAGTCAAGGCGGCGGCAAACCCGCCAGCAACACCGCCAGCCAAACAATGTGTTGTAGGATCATAATCTTTGCTCGGATTCATGGTCGTGGATATAGACTCGTATGCGAGGAACTGAAGAGCGGTGAAGGGCACCGTCATCGATAGAGTGGTCGGGTACGAGACGTAGAATGCCGCCAGCCCTTCCGTCTTGTAGACGTACTTGGCACAATCGGTCATGGAACGGTACATCTTGGCCGAGCCTTGAATCTGCATGCGCTGCTTGATGACTGAAATGGATTCATAGTCAGCACCCAACGAACCGAAACTCTGTGAAGAATGCTGTAATCACGCACCATCGAAGGGGTTCATCAGCGCATCGCTAGCAATCGTAGCGCAAGCACCGCTGGTCGCGGCAGCCAATGGATGGTGAACACCGGCCTGGTTGCCACCCATGACATGCTTGACAGCCTCGTAGGTAGCAAAGTAAACAGCATGAGCAGGACCTAGTGTTGTCAGCAATGCAAAATATTGCCAGTGCATGAATCATGCTTGCTCGCTCATAGGAACAACGTACCAGCGCCGGCAACAACACTGGACATACCCCTCCACAAGCTTAGGAAGCCCTCGCGGCTGGCTATGCGGTAGGTGCCTTGAATGACGCCGTTGTATACGGCCGAGGGGTTGGGATTGAGGACCTGCATTCGGGTCTGAAAGCTGCGGGTTAGCAAATGCCGATGCGCGAGCAGGCCGAATATGGGGGTTATGGGAGGAGAGCTCGTATGGTACCTTAATGGCGTCAATGGGATACATAACAGTATGCTCCTGTGAAGGCGGTGATCAGTTTTCAAGTTTCCAGCGATATCGATCAGAAAAATCATCTTTACAAGCTAGAGCTTGAAGTGAACAGGGATGGCATACCGCTATGCCGGCGAACGCCCCGGCAGCCATGTTCTGCACGAGGGAGAAGTTGGGAGGTAGCGATTCATAGCTGCAACGCAAACGTCAGCAGGCCCATTCTATCAAGAGAGCGAGCGAATTTGGAATCATGGTCGGACTGGCATTGGGGCATGTGAATGGATTGGGGTGCAATGAATATCAGGAGGGCATTGCGCACTCATATTCCTCGACGGGCTCTGCATTGGGCTGGGCCATTGCGGCCGCAGCAGATGCTTCGCCGTAGGGCTTGGGCTGAAGAGCCGCCAGATTGACAGCTGGGAAATGGTCGAGGGGTCGGCGATGGCGCCCGCGGATCCGGCGGGAAAAGCTCTCGCTGAGCTGGACGCGAAGAGATCGCGTCGCTTGTTTGCCTCGGTGGCCTTTTCCCCCCCTTCCCGCTCGCCTTGCTCCTCTCTAGATCTGCGCCGAGGTTGCCGAGGAACCTGCGAAGATTGCGAGGCCAGAAGAGACAGAGGTCGATCGGTAGCTAGGAGATTGGCGAAAATGGCAGTAGTCGAGTCTATGTTAAATACAGGCGACCTTGAGCTCACAAGGCCGTGGGCTAAGAGTTGGTTTGCGTGTAGATGCAAAAGATTGGAGGTCGAAGGAGCGTCGCAGTTTGTAGAGAGGTAGGGTAGGCCAGATCAAATGAAAAAAGTCTAGTTGGAGCTAGCAGAGTCAGGTAACGCACAGGCAGTGAGTGGAGGAGGTCCAGTGTGGGTTTGCGGCCGGTGTACCTCCTTCACCCGCAGCTGTATGGATACAACGGTAGTCTCGGCCAGGTATCGATACTTAAAGATGTCGTGATGGTGAAATGTCAGAGGAAGCAACTGGGACTGCAGGATAATTTTTGCAGCAGATACAAGAATACATAACAGAGAGAGAATCTGGCCAAATATTCTGCATCTCGAAGGCCCAAATCTCCGGGCATAATAGCGGCCCAACGAACGATAGGGTTTCCTGCAACCCCCGGAGGCCGAAAGACCAGACTATGATTCCCTGTCATATGGTTTCTATCAATCCACGGGCTTTGATAATTGTTCTTGGGAGAGGTTCAAAAATACTCCTACCACGCTTTTCTTGTAACGTCTCTCAAAAACTCATCGAGTAATAATTACGACCTCGTTATGGTGTGTCATCTCCTCTGCAATTGATAACGCTGACTTTACCTGTTGAAAATTGGGGTACTTTCCCACAGCATCAATGCCTCAACGTTCTTGCATTCATCCATTTGCTTCCGCTAGCTCCCTGAGCTCATGTTCCCCCCATAAGCACCCTTCAGCAAGTGGCTGGAGAGAGAACAACCTCAGAGCATCAAACAAGCTGTCGCTTGAACCAGCGACTCTTGAAGGCCCCACTGCAAATATCCTAAAATTATATTGAGACTTGGCCCTGGCTTCTCACCCTTCAGTGGGTCTAACCTACACAATGCATCGCATCTAAGTGATAGTTCTGCTGCACCGCCTCCTGTTCCTTGCTTTTCGATTTACATAAAGAAACGAAAACGGTAAGAAGCGTCCTTGATTAGCTTGTATGTTTTGCCAACCTCGCATTTAGCACTCACCATCTTTGTCTAGGTAGGTCTCGCTTGTTGCGATGCCTCGTTCCGTCACCCTCGCCACAACTCGATGATCATGTATTATTAACAGCACTACTACTACATACAGTAGATGGAAATAATGACAAGGAGGGGTGTGGTTAAAAGAAGAGAGCGAGAGAGAGAGAGAATAAGATGAAAATTACGGACACACTCGAAATCGACAATCCTGGTTATCAAACGCCCGTACTACCTATGTAGACCCTCTCCTGCAATTTTATCTCATCTTATCAATCAATCGACACTCCACTTATCGGAGCTCCATCAGGAGCTAGCTGCACATCTACACTATCGCAGTCTCCGAGTTGTACCACCTGCAGCAAAAATACATTCGCATCAGGCACTCACCAACTGCCACGTCGACTGCGGCTTCCCCTTCAGCCCGCGCACATTAATTTGGCTCATTTCTCCGTCAAGACATCTTTCACCCACGCTATGCTCGTACCTGTAAATCGCCACGTCCGGAGACGCGCAACTTTAAACGTGGGCGGCTACCCCTCAGAGATAAGTACAGCCCCGTCAAAACATCCGTACTCCTCGGAGATACGAAATTGCTCTCTTCGGTCCGGCGCAAGTTCCGCTCCCGACCGTCGGTGATAACTCAATCTTGATTTTCTGCAACGCTTTCTCCCAAATTGAGATCTATTGCAGCACTCCATCTCAGACCACCTTGCGCTTTCGTCCATCAAACCCAGCTTCAACCCGGCCACGAAAAGACCGTCCATAGTCCCCATATCCCAGAATGTCAGTCGCATGACGCCCTAATACCCATAATTCCTTACCAGCATACTCGAAGTACCGGCCCATTGTCCGTATGCCCTCTTTTCTTCACAGTGCCCCGCCACTCTGTGGATTGTTACGGTGGGCCTGCTGAAATTGGTATATCAAACCCAACACCCCCGCGTCTTGCTCGCCCGTCTCTGCCATGCTGCTCTCACGACTCAGCCCCTTTGGAGGTGATGTCTCCCATACAGACTCTCCCAAAGGCCCCGAGCCATCAAATGTTTCGTCTTCGTGTGCACTCTGCGACTGCAGGCGGCTATCTACGCCTAAGCCGTCTTCGGTCAACTCCTCGATGATACCTTCACCCTGATAACCACCCCGCGCCGCTCGACTCCGGTGCATACTTCGGATGCCGAACACTGTTGCGGCAGGTTGGTGATGTGGGTCAAGAAGCATTGATGCCATCGGCGACGGGGCCGTCATTGATGGTCCAAACCTCGGCGTTCGGGTTTGTTGGCCAGATCCTCCCCCAGCTGCTCGGCTCCTCGTAAGGTCTTGTCGACCCATCCTAGAGTTTTGCATGTCGGCCGCCAATGTCGGAGAACTCAGTCCCGGAAACGTCGGCGGGGGGTGAAACTGCTGTCGGCTTCCGGGAGGTAGATGACCTGGTATACCTGTCCTCGGATTGATTACATAGTTGTCCAAGAAGCCGTAGTAAGACGCTGCCATCTTGTTGTGTTTTGTGGAATAATAGTCTTCCCGGACATCGCCAGCGCCTACTTGTTGCTTTGCCTTGCCCACACCCTTCTTGAAGTCGAACTCGGCGAACGAGCATATATAGCCAACCCCGTCTACATGGATGGTGAATTCTCGGAAAAAGTCGATGATCTGGTCGCTGCACTTGGGGGCTGAATAGATCAACACAAAGGAGGCAGTAAGAATACCGAGTATTTCCTCGATGAGAATCAACAACTTCAGCTTGTAAAGCTCCGAAAACTCCCGCTTGACGTCAGCTGTGTGAAGACGGCCGTTCCAGGTGTCTGGCATGTAACGAGTGTATTCGATGACGTTGCGCAGAGCGTAATCCGGATCGAATACAGTCGTTTCTTCTGATATCATACCTCTGGCAGCTGCCCAGATCGCAGCAAACAAGCCGATGTAGAACAGTGCTGACCTGTCCTTGGTGATCTCGAAACCAAGGAAAAGCTGAGGATCGAGAAATGATGCGACGGCAAGGACCGAAGTGATGGCCCCCGCAACGAAAGTCACCATTCTGGCGAACTGCTCCGTCATTTTCTTTGGGAACTGGTCAATATAACGGCTAGCAAACGGATATGACATGTTGATTCGTTCATGGAAGAGGTGCGGAACCTCGTTAAACTCTCGGAATTTCCACTCGGCAAGAGGCGTATATCGTCTGTGACTAAAGGTTGATGGGTCTTTTTGATACTCCTACAGCCAGATCTGTCAGTGTCCATAACCAACAGCATGCAGCACTACGAGAGTGGGCTTACATTGTAGTACGTGAAGGCATGGACAACAATAAGATATGCGACGACAAAGGGACCGATCAGTAAGTTGATGATGCCGGCGAACACAAGCCGCGATTTCAGCTTTGCACTTAACAAGCCTCGGCGGTCTGCTTTGAGAAACTCCTGGTGTACCTGGTTGTTCCCATCAAAAACATAAGTCAGAATGGCAAAATGCAGGTTCCATTCGAGACTTCTTGAGAAGAACTGGTGCTTCCTCGCAAAGGGTATCGGGAGCGTAAGGTCGAGTATGTCTTTGTTCATCATGGCTATCAGGTAGTTTTCCCTCCTCATGAGACGGTTGGCGATGTCTGCGGCATCCAACCTCTCCTTGGACTGATTACGCATCCATTGTCGTACCGAAGGGTTGACGTTGATAGCTGTCTTGGGATTGGCGTCCCGCAAGGCCATGACCCGGGCAACTATGTCTTGCCAGGAAACGGTTTGCATGTCTTCCTCTGGTATCTCAAGGAGGTGGATATAGAAGTTGCGCATATTGCTGAGACGCCGCAGGTCCATTGTGAACTGGACTGCCTTCCATACGAAGTAAAAGACATACAGCCAAAGACCAATGTTCCACATGAACGACATATTTCTGGTACACTGAGGAATCATGACCTCCTTCAGCGAACTACTGTTAGGGATCTTGGTGTATTCAACGCACTGAGTCAGGAAGGTTAGGAACACGGCGAAAAAGGCAGATTCTCTGGCTTTATGTCAGCGTCATCCCACTGGGCCACTTGCGTCTTGCTAAAAGACAACTTACATCAGGTGTAACGCCCGAGCACACACAATGCACCAAAACCCGCTCCCTCGGTAGTAGTAGTAGACGTCTTGGACGAAGAAGTCAAGGTTGGAGACATTTACCCATCTCCAGAGGGCCTTCTCTTTCTCGCTTCCAGATGCAAGGCCCCTAGCAAAACGCTTTGGTTGGGATCTGGTCGGTTTGGAGCTATCTGTAGCGTGAAGCCTCTGTTGCGCTTTTGTCGTCTCCCACTGGGCATGAGTGCGTCTGTTGGAGGGGCCAGGAATAGCATTCTGCCTTCCTGGAAAAGCCGGCTTTCTCCGCGTATTTGCCTTTGCCTCCACATCGCCCTCGTGCGGCTCGACAAGCAGTGATGCAGGAACATCGTTGTCGCCATCATCTTCCTGGCCGAGCCACTTGGAGTTGGGCTCTCGTCTATGTCCTTCGCGCCGTGGACCACGGCCAGTTGTGCCGGAAGGGCTGTTGAGGATGTTGGCATTGCTCTCCAGTGTCGCTCGGCTGTCTTCAATAGCAAGGCCTTGTATGTGGTCTAGATCATAGTCTTGGAATCGCTCTCTCAGATTCTCTTCGTCAACATCCAGGCCAGCTTGTCCTTCGATGTCCATATCTCTATCGTGTCCGGCCCTCAGTTCTTCGTAGAACGACTTAGAGGCTCGAGATGGCGGGGCGAGCCGAGAGAAGATATTGGAAGCCATGATAAGGCGAATCGATCAGGGTTCTGTTGGGGCAGATCGTCAGAGATAGACTTTCATCGCTCACGGCGTTCGGCGCATGTTCGGAGGAAGATAGAATGCGGCTTGCGCACGGCGAGGGATCCAATTTTGAGGGAGCAGCCGACTAGATTTGCATGCCTGGCGCACGAGACTAATATTAGCCTGAAGTAGAATCTGGTCCAAAGTAAAGGTGGTCGAGGCTGAGAGGATTCGCCATCACTTGATGTGTGGACTGGTGGTCAGGTGGCCCGGCCCGACGGTTGCAGGTGACAGAAGCTTTGGGAAGTGTTGGAGAAGAGTAACTTACAAGCTCACGCGTAGCCACTCGTGCTCGACTGGACTTTGGGATCAGAACCGCTCTTTGCAGACCAAAATGGTGAGCGGATGATAGCAATCACGATGCCTATGTGCGAGTTTAGGGAAGTTGGAAGCAGTACGATAAACGTTCGCTCTCCAGTGAAATGTGCTGCTGACGTTGGGGGGCGTTAATACGTACTGGGTAGAAGTATAGATAGGGATCCGATCGCAGTTCCAACCATTATCTCTCTACAGCAAATAGGTAGCATGGGATCCCGTAGGCAGGCATCAGTGCGCTACAGGTACCTAGATGCGGGGGGTATGACGTGGACAACGAGTCGGCAGGCGGTGAGCTGTTTTTTGCCAGGCTTCTCCCCGTCGGGAAATCCCATATCTTATCTGGGTTTGAATAAGGTAACAAACAGCTAGGTGAAGCACGTACCTTCGGTACAAGCTTATTGAAGCGAGGGCTGATACCTACTTTCTTTCGAGGGAGGTCTCGATGTTTACTTACAGTCGCTAAACTCTCTGCACGCAGCATGCTGTGCCTTTCGTAGCTGAACTGAAGCTCTCACTGTCTCTTACTCTGTCGGTATTTGTCGGAAAGGGTTGGTGAGTCCGGTTGGCTCCCTGGTTTCTTCTCATCATGGTCTCGGCTCTGCCTCCCTCCACACAAAGGCCTTTGCCCAGTAGAGATCTGTCCAGTTCGAGCATCATTACACCACTGTCTCCCCCCACCCCAACCTCAGCTAGGGCCCCGAATCCGTTGACTTCCAAAGTCGCAACAGTTCTGTCAACTTCATATGCAGATTCTGAGTTTAAAGACGCATTGCAACTGCTCGACAGTCGAGGCCTCAAGAATACGGCTGAAACACGCCGCCAGTTACGACTAGACCTGCAGAAGGAGGTTATTGACAGCAATGGAGAAATTGTCTCTCAGTTTGGCCGGGTGGCTGATGTAAGTACTGCTTCCATGGTCTTGAGACGGCCCTGGTCCAATAACTGACTTTCTTCTTCAGCAATTGCGTCGCATAGGGGCTACCCTGGACAAGTTGAACAATAACTATCAAGATGTAAGGAACCGCATCACTGCGGCACATGAAGACACGGGCCCGATTTTGGAAGAGGCTTCAAACTTGATGAAGGAGCGAGCCGAGGTTGAATCAAAACAACACCTACTCAAGGCACTGCGCAGTCACTTCGTTCTATCAGACAACGAAATTGCCTTGCTGACTTCTACCGCCGAGCCTGTCGACGACAGCTTCTTTGCTGCCCTGCACAAAGCGAAACGGGTGAGCAAAGATTGCGAGATCTTACTCGGATTTGAAAACCAAGCTCTGGGACTTGAGATTATGGAGCAAACGTCCAAAAACCTCAACCTTGCTTTCCAAAAGCTATACAAATGGGTACAACGCGAGTTCAAAACGTTGAACCTCGAAAACCCTCAGATGAACTCGTCCATCCGCCGTGCCATCAGAGTCCTAGCCGAGCGACCTTCCCTTTTCCAAAATTGCCTCGACTTCTTCGCTGAAGCCAGAGAACGCATTTTGTCCGATGCCTTCCATCTCGCCTTGACTGGCACCACAACCTCGGGCGTAGAAGACCACTCAATTAAACCTATTGAAATGGCCGCCCACGACCCGCTTCGGTATGTGGGTGATATGCTTGCTTGGATACACTCGGCGACCGTGAGTGAGAGGGAGGCACTCGAGATTCTTTTCGTTTCAGAAGGCGACGAGATTGCCAGAGGACTCCAATCGGGTCGAGCCAACGAGCTCTGGCAACTTCTCGATGAAGGCGATGGCGAGACAGCACCCGTTTTTGATGCCCTCAAGGCACTCAACGACCTGGTCGATCGAGACGTCTCTGGTGCCACCAGAATCCTGCGACAGAGGATCGAACAGGTCATTCAGTCCAACGAGGAGACCATTCTCGCCTACAAGCTTGCCAACGTACTCGGCTTCTACCGGTTCACATTCGCCAAACTGTTAGGCAGTGAGTCAAGGCTTTTGGAACTCATGTCTGGGCTCGAAACAAATGCATTAAGGCAGTTTCGGTCACTCATGAGAGACCACATCGCCACACTGCAAGGCGAGTTCCAGCAAACGCCTTCAGACCTTGTTCCTCCAGACTTTTTGCTTGAGGCACTGAAGCAGTTGACTGCGGTTATGAAGACGTACGAAATCTCGCTGGCAACATCCGCGGATCGCGAGAGTGACTTCCAGCCCATTCTTGCAGAGGCATTTGAGCCCTTCTTGGCGGGGTGCGAAAACATGGCAAGGGGAGTGAGACGGCCAGCAGACGCCATTTTTATGACGAACTGTTTGCTTGCGGCGAAACACACGCTGGAGCCCTTCGATTTCACGCAGCGGAGGAGACAAGAATTGCAGGATAGAGTGGCAGAAGAGTGCGAAAAGCTCTCAGAGGAGCAATATCAATTCTTCCTTCGGGGGTCTGGACTCGGGGAAATCCTGGATTCACTGGGTAAGCTTACCAAAGAGGACAACGATGTGAAGAAGGTAGCCCTACTCGCTGAGCTTCAGCCCCATGCATTGAGTCGAGCAAGCCAAACACTTGACGATTTCCTACCGTCGGCGCTCATGGACGCTATGGGAAATGTCAAGCACATGCAAGACTCAACTCTGGCGCGGGAACTCACGGAAAAGGCTGCTGGGAAGTTCTGTGACGAGTTTGAACACGTTGAGGAAATGCTGCTGTTGGCGGATGAACTGGCTGCCCATGATGGACACATGGACGCCGACGCCGACAAACGCCAAATGCTTCGCACCCTATTTCCAAGAACCACAGGGGAAATTCGGGTCCTCTTGTCGTGAAGACAGCCATGGCGTCATATTTGAAGGCCGGCTTACGGCTGGCCTTATCATCGAGTGCTGTATTCATGTCAAGTAAGAAGAGCCTATAAGTAAGTAGGATAAAAGAACTCAAACTACAAACGAACAACACTCCTAGGATTGGTGTTCCTGATACCTTTCATGCCTATCTCCGGTGGTAGGGCGAGTTACTGTTGGTTGCTCTTTCGACAGCGGAGTAGCTCCGTATCACCTCCACGGCTCATTGCCTTCTGGGATGTTCCAGCCAGCTGCTGTTCCTTCTTTTATTTTTTTTATGTGAGGTGTAAGCTGCTTGTTCTGTTGGTCTTGTGTAGTTGCGTAGGTATTTACCTACCCGGGAGGGGGGTTCGGACAATGAGTGGCTAACCATTGTAACCGTATAAATATATACTGTACATTAATTTCTACACATAGTGTGCCTAGAGTGATGCATCTAATTTTCTATCCCTTTTTCCTTGAAGTAGGAGGCATCTCGATTCTGGATAAATTTTTTGAACACCTAAGGTGCAACACGTTTATATCTCTAGATCTACTCTCTTCTCTAAGTATTAAATAAAAAAAACCCCTTTCAATATAGACTAATGTTAGCTTAGTCTAAATGACCAGACGTAGACATAAAAATGCAAGAATAAAGAGAATGATCAGAGAGAAGGAGCTGTAAATGACAGGAGTGGTACATGATATCTGGTACCTACTATGTTCAAAGTTACTAGATACTTTATCATGGGGCACTGTCCAGAACACTCCCTTCCGGCATACCCAGATAGCATCAACAAGAAGCATGTGGGGCGATACTGTCCGCACCCTCCACTCAGGCGCTGCAGCGACGTCACTATCCCGCCTAGTGTAGGTGTGCACTGGTGTAGCCCCCCCGCCACGCGATCAATCCATCAGTCACCCACATTTCCACTTCTAGACAAACAAAGGCGTCCAAACCCTGTCTGTTCCCTGCCTGACCTTAACCTCAACCTCGGAACCATCCATATCACCTAATCGTCTTTCGAACCGGTTGTAGCGGACTTGGACTGCTTCCTTCCATAAGCATATCTGCTGCCCATCGCACCATCCAAAAGCACCCCTGCGCCGGCACTTACACCCTAAGGTACTATGGTCTGGCCCCCAGTACCATGTCACGCTCACGGGGCCTTGCCATTCTCCAGAAGACCTACGACGACAGCTACTTGAAATGTTCTACTGCCGTATACTATGAAAGCCAGGTAGCCATCTTACCTCTGCTCATTTCTACCTCTATTGTGCGCTGACATGCTCTTGTTGATCTTCCAGGGCGACGAAAACGAGGCGATGCGGTGCTGGAAGAACGCCCTCGACCAACTCAACGACCAGCGCATCACCAAAGTCTTGCCTAATTACGTAGCCGGTACCGAGACCGAGGAAGCTCTGATAGATTCCCTGCGCAAACTGGAACTGCAGTGCAAGGAACGCATTGACCTGCTCGAAGCGTTACGGATATCCCGCCAAGACGTTTTGACTTCTAGTTCCCAAACCTCGAACTCGACAGCACCAAACCCCTCAGCCGACCCTGACCTTTCGAACATAACCACCTCAGAGCGAGGCTGGATTGGCCAAGGGACGATCCCAGCCATACGTTATCCCGACCTATCGCGACCTGCTTTATCCAAACGCCCATCCCTGCCCTACAGAACATCATCCGAGCAAGCAGTTGTTGGCCGCGATCAGAGCCCGGTGGGTATCTCTCCCTTTGCTGGCTCCTCCAGCTCCCTCCGTACGGCCACCAAGAAAGAGCCAACCATGAGGTCTCCCAGTCCGGAAAAGTACACCATGCGGACAACGTTGCGGAGTGGCAAGCCTGGGGACAAGCCAGCAAAAACAGCACGTAAGCTGTCAAAGACCGAAGGGCCTGGAGCCAGCAAGGCCGCAACGCTGGCTTGGAGTGCTCTCGGCTCTAGAGAGCGACTGGCTCGGGCATCTCCTATGCTACCGGAACCTTCATCGTCTGCTCCTACTACACCCAATGAGTCGTCACGAAAACTAGGGTCTTCATCTGGCGCACAATGGGACGTTCACACTAGAAGACTTGTTCCACCTCGAGACGCTGCCTCGTCGTTTTCTGACGCCGTAGGTAGCGCAAGAATATCTGATGAGTTAGCACACAGTCGAGCCTCGTCATTGTCCCTGAGCGCAGCATCGAGCGCCTTGAACGCTGTGCCCTACCCAGACATATCTCCTGTCGAGTACAGCACGCCGAAGCAGGAGCGGACATGGCGCTCACGAGACCACCCGTCGTCATTTCCGCGATCCAGAATATCTCCGCATGAGCGAACTCCCTCCTCCGATGCTGACGACTTTGAGTTACGACGCAAGAGCACACCAGATGGAACCAAATTCCGGAAGAAGCCTGTCTCAGATACCCCTATTCGGCTCAACGGCAACTTGACGAGCGGATCGGAGCCGGACAAAGCTACGCGATCACGACGTGGTGCCCACCGACCTAGGAGGCCTTCGTCTTCAAGTTGCTCGGATAATTTAAGGGCGACTCCAAAGGCATCGGACAAGAAGTGGAAGGGGAAGCGCAAAGAAGACGCTGTGGTGGCTGATGCTGAAGCAGCCTCGTCCGAAGAATCTGCGGAGGGCGACAAAGAAGAGTCTTTGACCAAGGTGGCCTGGAAATCTAAAAAGAAGAAGATCATGAAAAACTTGCCGTCGAGTGTGGACGAGACAGCCGCAAAGCAAATCCTCAACGAGATCGTAGTGCAGGGAGACGAGGTCCGCTGGAGTGATGTTGCTGGTCTGGAAGTCGCCAAAAATGCGTTGCGAGAAAATGTTGTCTACCCATTTCTGCGTCCCGACCTGTTTATGGGGCTTCGTGAGCCTGCGCGGGGTATGCTACTCTTCGGTCCACCAGGTACTGGTAAGACTATGCTGGCTCGTGCCGTAGCCACAGAGTCTCGGTCGACCTTTTTCTCGATATCGGCAAGCAGCTTGACGAGCAAGTACCTCGGCGAATCAGAGAAGCTTGTGCGAGCGCTGTTTGCACTAGCAAAGACACTTGCTCCAAGCATCATCTTTGTCGACGAAATCGATTCGCTGCTTTCTCAAAGATCTGGATCTGGGGAGCACGAAGCGACAAGAAGAATCAAGACTGAGTTCCTTATTCAATGGAGTGATCTACAGCGAGCTGCAGCAGGTAGAGCAGTTGACGAAAAGGACAGAAACCGAGGAGATCCTAATCGAGTTCTTGTTTTGGCGGCAACCAATCTTCCATGGGCCATTGATGAAGCTGCCCGCCGCAGATTCGTGAGGCGTCAATACATACCACTCCCCGAGCCGGAGACGCGCTCGACACAGCTTCGCACACTCCTGGGTCAACAAAAGCACAACTTGTCTGATCCAGATATTGAGAAACTTGTTTTACTTACTGATGGTGAGTTTCAATGTATAGCCTAGCTGTTTAGAATCCAGATATGATGCTTACACGAGTAGGATTTTCCGGTTCAGACATTACGGCGCTAGCCAAAGATGCAGCCATGGGTCCTCTTCGTTCTCTGGGTGAAGCTCTCTTGCGCATGACAATGGACGAAATTCGGCCGATCTCACTGGCGGACTTCGAAGCAAGTCTAGGCACCATTCGACCCAGCGTCAGTAAAGCAGGGCTCAAGGAGTACGAAGATTGGGCAAGAGATTTTGGTGAGCGAGGAGGGTGATACAAGGCAGCGAGCAACGTTTTTTCTATGGTCGATGTCACAAAACACATGGTCAGCGGCGAAAGGGTGGTCTACGCGATACCCTATGGCAGTGCTTGCTTATTGGCATTAGGGCAAGGCATGTAGTTCCTACTTTCCCTCGCCTTTGCAGGGAATGAGACAGGGGCTATGTCTTTGAACAAAAGCATGAGGTTGCTAAGCTAGTAATAATATTCATACAGTGAGCTCTCAACTGCCTTTCAGGCTCTGCGTAAGCTGTTGCTTGAACGAGGCACTGCTCATGATCCAACGCAAAACTACTTCTCCCGTTATACAGCGTGGCATTTCATTCCCATGCACGTAGGATTGTGTAATTATTTCCCACCACCTATGTGGCCCGTCTATTGATGTACAAGCTCAGGCTTGGCTAGGGGTGGCTTTCGTGGACTCCTCCTGTTTCCTTGCGGTTCGTCTGGCAACCTTTGCCTCTCTTTTCTGTACTTGAGCTGCGATTCTCTCCTCCTCAGACGGGATCGGCGGCCGTTCCGAAATGGGTGTGCCGTAGGGCGCGATGATGTTCTTGACGACATGGCGCTTGTGGGGAGAAGTTCTCCATCCTGGGACGATGGAGATAACGTCGCCAGTTCGGAGGGAGGAGTTGGGGTCGTGAACAAGGTAGTTCTTGGGCTTCGTGAACATCTGTTACGCACATAGTAGTGTCAGTCGTTTGCGCTGGAGGAGTCGATGCAGGAGGGAGGCAAGAGCTGGCGCATACCTTTTGGACCGCCTGCTTCCACTGTTGACCACCCACGCGCACCTTCACAGTCTTCTGCATGAGACCCGCGCTCACGACGACGCCGTGGAGCTCGCGGACAACTTGGCGCGCTGCCGTCATGGCCTGGCTAGACATGATGGATGCCAGGAGGAGGGTTTGGTTGGCGTGGGACTAGGCTCCAACAAGCGGTTCGTTACGCTTAACGGTGATCTTTCGATCGATATCTCCAGCACCGTCAAAGAGAAGTTCGGTGGCCGTCGTTAGATCAATCAGTTGTGCAACAATCATCGAATTGCTACCTTACGCCTCATAGAGTCCGTGTCTTCTCAGTCTGTCGCTCAGAAATTCAAAAACCGGAGCAACATCTCCGTCCTCTGATTGGGTATTCGGATTAATAAACAATCGAAATTCCGGCTTTAGGCCGACGTCGAACCCCACCCCTGCCTCCCAGCATCTAAGGGCACACAGAACGAACAGACGCTAAGATAACCTTATATTGGGTAGCTTCTTCTTGGCTTTCATTTCCTAACTCCTGTCGTAAGAGCCCTGAATCGAAATGCTGCATAATGCTTAAAGGATTCGGATAGAGTAATGGTTGCGGCGGAGAATTTTGAGGGGTTGAACATGCGAATCATTCGGTTGCTTCCGACTTGAAGTCATTGGAGGCGTCTTTCGCTTAGCCAAAGGAATAGGTCGGTCTCCTTCTACGGTGCGATCTACAGGATGGTTGTTGTTGAAAGCGAAACACTGGTTGTGGCTTTGGACTATAATTCACGAGAGATGCAAGGATTCTAGTAGGAAGATCTGGATGGCGATAGGTTCCAGGACACAGGCTGTCCATTGCTATGATTGCCACCAAGAGCCTTTCAAGGGGCAGTGAAACAGTCCGTAATTGACAGCAACCCAACCCGACCCTCCATCGAGAAAACAAAGGACAAAAAGTAAAAATAAAAAAAGGCTTGATTTCCAGCCTCGGATATATGGTACAGCCGTGGAAATTGCAGGGACGTATCGTTGTGCGGAGGACCTAGAAAAATCCGCATATATAGGTTGTGGTCTGGCTCGTCACTGTACATGACCGAGCTGGAAAGTATAAATTAGTTTACATTCTCGCATATTGGTCATGGGGTATCGATAGCTCAGCACAAAATGGCCCCCGTCTCTAAGCTGTGGGCTTGAAAGCGAACAGCAATAGGGTCGCCAATAGATAGCGTTGGCGACCAGGTAACAGCGAGCCTGACAGGAATGTAACTGAACATGCCCAGTCACTGGAAGACTGAGCAGACAAAATGGAGAACCCTCTCTATGCGATGCGTGGGCTTCGAATGCTGAAGCTCCCAGCACACATACATAGCAAACATGCCACGGCGGCATACGCTCATGGAGATGGAGCTGTGGCCAGACTAGCCGTACGAGCTCGAGTGCGCGACAGCAGCTTGGCAGAAATCACAGCTTAGACCAGGAAGATGCACATGCCATGTTTTCCCAGCCAAGTTATGAGAGGCTGTCAGCGGTCAGTCGTATATCCCTTTGTCATGATTTTATCGCAATAATCGAGTCAGCAAGAATCGTGCTTAGCAGTTGTTTAAACTCTGCTTTCTTGAGGGGACATGCGGGAATCTTATAGTTTGATCCATGCCTAGACTAGAGCCCTTACGCACGAGAAACTATTACTCCCTACATGCTACAGATCGCATGCCTATTTGCGAGTATTTATTTATTCTCTGACTACCTAGGTATGACTGATACGACTGACTGCTGAACTTAATTATGGTGATAAAGCTATGGCTGAAAGATAAGGGGCGAGTCAGCCGCGCAGAAAACCGAGGAACACCCCCCACCTCCCCGCCTACATGGGGCTATCGATAAGACGGAGGAGACACGGGTTGCGAAATGCCACAGTGACCACAGACTCAGATAGGGATGCACGTTTACAATCAATTGTTACTGACCTTTGTTTCTAGGCCTGAGACTGCTCTGTCTGTTGAGTGGGCGGACGTGCGACTTCTTCTGCACTGATATGTACATGGGCCCTCGGAAGAGTTTGTTTCATAGGGCATTGCACCTAATGTGTCACTTATTATTTGCTGTAGCGGCAAAGTCTAAAGAAGGGAACGAGGGATTGATGACAGTGCGTTGCATGGATCCAGTGCCGAGTTTCGACAGGCACCTCGGCGTGCCATATGGGCACCTACCTAGGTAAGCATCGAGCACTCTGTATCCGTACTTACCTCATAAGCTTCTGCTAAAGGTAGCTACCTACACACGGTTGGGTACACCACTGAAATGACCGTTGTAGGGTACCCACCGGAGGTCCACGGTGGCAGGGTGGGTATATGATTGGTCCTAAGATACTGCTGCGTTCGCTCCCTCCCTTTCATCCCTCTCCGCCAAACGCTGCTCTCGCTTGATCCGACCTGGTTCATCCTTCTCCAATTCTTCCGCCCTCCAAGAAAAATTAAAAAACCTCGTCACAACCCCTCCCTCCTTTCTGGATCACTTACTCAGTCCTTTTGATCTCTCATCCATATTATCTCACTTCACATAAGTTGTTGTTGTTGTTGTCTCCTCTTTATCCCTTTTTTTGTTGTGCCTCTTGTGCCCCTACGCGCCTCCTCGCCGTCGTATAACTACAAACCGTCAACGCGAAAGGGGAGAGAAACCTGCATCCAAAATTTTCACGCGTTCCAACCAACCGATCGACGCATCCCAAAAAGTTTTAAGATAAAAAATGTCTTCCCCAGAGGCCCGTGCTGGTGTCAAGCGACCCCGTAAGTTCCCATCATGTCCCTTCCCGCAACTCATCTTTGCCCTTGCATCTTGTCATCGCCCCCTTGCCAGAAGCTTCTGTGTGCCGCCTGTCGCCAAACCCCACGACTCGCAGAACTTCAACACTTGCTATCGCCCAGCTGCATGGCCGACTTATAATCCCTTGGCCACCCGCGAAGCTTCCCCCCACGGCATCACCAATTTGACAAGCACGACACCTTCCCCTCATTTTGCAAGTACTCCAAGGCATAGCAGACATGGCAGGCAGCTCGAGCAAGGGCAAGCGGACGCAGCTTTCCCTCGCTTTTCTTCCGGTTGGCTGACGAGGTATAATTGATAGGTACCCAATCGCTCCCTCCTCCCGCCCTCCCTCAGCTGGTCGCTGAGCAGCACACTCCCATCCCTCCGGCCGACAAGGACTCTCAACGCCTCATCGTCGTCCTGTCAAACGCGAGCCTCGAGACCTACAAGGCCTCCCATGGCGGCACCGGTCGCAATGGGGCCCAGCGAGAGGAGAAGTACTCGCTCCTGAACAGTGACGAGCACATTGGCGTCATGCGCAAGATGAACCGCGACATTAGTGATGCGCGCCCAGATATTACTCACCAGGTTGGACATTACCAGCGAACTGCCTTTATTTTGCGTTGCTCACTGATAATGCGCCTCAACGCGCCCTATTCTTGTCTGCATTCAACATGCTGACTATGCTGACCAGTGCCTCCTTACTCTGCTCGACTCCCCCATCAATAAGGCCGGCAAGCTCCAGATCTACATACACACCGCCAAGGGTGTTCTGATTGAGGTCTCCCCTTCGGTCCGCATCCCGCGTACATTCAAGCGTTTTGCCGGTCTAATGGTGCAACTATTGCACCGCCTGTCGATCCGCTCAACCAACTCCCAGGAGAAGCTTCTGCGTGTCATTCAGAACCCCATCACGGACCACCTGCCGCCCAACTGCCGCAAGGTCACCCTCAGTTTCGAGGCGCCTCTGGTCCATGTGAGAGACTACATCGACACACTTGGCCCCAAGGAAAGCGTCTGCGTTTTTGTCGGCGCCATGGCCAAGGGCTCCGACACTTTTGCCGACGGTCTGGTGGACGACAAGATTTCTATCAGCAACTACAGCTTGTCCGCCAGTGTTGCTTGTAGCAAATTCTGCCATGCTGCTGAGGACTCTTGGGACATCCAGTAAGGGGCAAGGTGCGACATGACTACCGTTGGTTTGTCTGGGCGAAGAGGGTAAGTGGTAGAAGGAATGGCTCAAGTGGCAACGTAAGTGGTGCGTCCCCAAGCTGTCTGGGAGATTTGTTATGCGGCCATATGATCGAAACGAAAGCCTGGAGGCCAGCTTGAGGGTTCATGATGCGACATCATGACGGCCGCTTGTGGCCTTGGAACTTGAGCCACCTGGTGGGTGCTTTGCGCAGTCGCTATTTTTGCGACCAAAATCGGAGCGTGCAACAACGGGTCGAAGACGCCACCGTGGTCCGGGGCGGTAACAAATTCAACATGACCCGTTGTTCCTTTTCTTTTTGTCCTCCCTTGAACACATGAAGGGTCTAGCTACAGCTGGCCATGATTGCTGTTGACAATGACGGAGTGATTCGTTGCTTTCGGCAAGTGTCTTATAAAAGAAATGACTCATTCAGCATCAGCAAGAACTCCCCGCGTCAAGACCACACGTGTAACAACGGGTTGGCAATTCTCATTGAAGAAAGAAGGGAAGACGGAAAAAGTGGTGTAGGATGGGTGGAAGGATATTGCAGCGCGACCGCGTCACATTGTCGAGCGTTTTCATTCGTGGAATAATAATTACTCGGCATGGTTGATCGATCGTATGTGAACTGGACCACCAGTGACGATTCCCAAGTATGCCTAGGATTGAGCATCCACGATGTTGATGCACAAAGATGAGGAACCAGCATCTCGCTCCAGTCGCCAAAGAAAGGCTGGGAGGAGCACAAGGTGTTAAAGCGACGACGTTGGTTGATCGAAATAGCGGACGGTGGGTTGCGGGGTGTAAAGCCATGCAGTACAATGATGCCGGGCCAATCATCTAGCAACGCGTCCCGGCGTTGATGCCCAAGCGGAAAACTATAACGAGACAGGATTCGTACGATGCGGCTCGTCCGCTTCAGCGTGAGACGATGCGTGGCCACGCGCGCAGGGGCACTTGTGCGTCTCGATTCCTTTTGCCGCTTGGGACCCTTGTTACAATAAAACTAAACGGCAGAAATGGAGTATCGATATGAACGACACGGTAGACCAAGGCAACAAGGAGCATTGGTCCCAATCTGCTGGGAGAGTCGAGGTGCCCAGCCTCAGGCTGACTCACTTTAGGGGTTGATTGTATTTTTGAGACTAGGTAACAGGCGACGTGAGACCTGTGGTTGCAACAAAGGGTACGATTGGGGTGAGGTTTGGCTGAGCTTGATCAAGGCGGTCAGCAGCTCAACCAGCAAGTCGCCAATCGAGTAGTGTAAGGCATATGGAAGTTCAATGTGTGAGGCTGGGTTCTCCTCGATCTCCGGAGCACGGAGCCGGCAAGAGAGGCCAAGTCTGGGTGCTGCACCACTCTTTGGGTGAAGAGGATCATGATGGAGTAAGTGCAAAACCAGAGTGAAAGCTGCGATATGATTCGGGGACGGGTGTTGCGGTGAGTTGCAAAGGAGTCGCAGGTTGGTGACGGGAAAAGTGGATCTGCTCCTGGCGGTAGACTCGGCAGGAAACGGGGGCGGCGGCGGGGATGCAGAGTTACTCACTGTACCTATGTACCTACGGATAGGTAGGAATAAGTAGGTAAGTACATGTATGTATACGTACGCCACCGACTACACTACCAAACTGTCCCAACCAAACCCAAGTTATCGACGGCTCGAAATAGCCGGGACTGCCACCGTGAGTACTGTACAGCCGAGTCAACGCGCAACGGGCGGCGTCTGTGTCACTCTCGCCCCTCCTTTCTTTCGGCCTCTCCCTCTGCAATTTGGCGCCAAGGAACCTCTCTGGGAAGCGACTCACCCATTCGCTTGCACACATCCAATGAAGGATCCTATACTAGAGTATTCGCGCGTTATGATTTGTGATGGCCGTGGTAGCCCAACCGCTCCTGAAATAAAATGCGGTGCGGCATTTCTTGCCCATCCCTGTTGTCATCAGTCTGCTCACAACTCCTTTAGTGACCTAAGCTTATGGATCCCGCATCTCAGCTTCAGCGACATGTTAGTCATCAAGTTCTCTATGGGAACGATGCCATAGCATGCTACCGCTGTCTTTGGAACTCTACATGAGTCAAGAAGCTATCTCCTTCCATCGCTCTCCCAAGGTGATGGATAGATGTCCCTTGGGTCACCTGACGCACGAAAAAGGAGTCCGCAGTATGGCAGCGGGGGCACAGCAAGACTACCGGAAAGAAAGCGGGGGTTCAGGCCGGACCAAAGGGGACGAGTGCCAGCCAGACATGGCATGACACGACGAGGCCCCGTACGCGATCCAACCTACGAGGTGCGGCAAGCATTGCAAGCTACATAGTACTGAGTCAACCCCCGACACAAAAACAGATACGCATACTAAGGAATTTCTTAGTCCTCATTTTGCAGTGTACCCATGCTAAAGCCCCCCGTGCGCACGTCTGGTGCAGCAATATGACGGTTCAGTGGCCCTTGCCGGGATCATGAAGTGTGGTTTATCTACAAACCCAAGATTGGCTGCGGCCCAGCGTATCCGAAGTTGTCAGTGTCGGCCGGTTAGGTACCATGACCGCCCGCAACCAGCGTGGCTTAACATGGCTTGATTGACGTTGTTTCCTGCAGTCCAGTCAATTTTTGCAGAATGACAGCAGGCAAGCCTATCGGCGACTATGGAGCATCGATGGGGCGGACTACATGCCTGATATTTTGGCTGCCCGGTCTTACGACCACTTCATCCCCCATAATCTTGCATGTACAGTTATGTATATTGCGCTGGTTACCGGCTGCGAGCTCCGGTACAAGGTCCCAGCGACGACATGCAACACTACGCCGGATTGGATCGGGACAGGGCTGGCTGCATATTGGAATCAACTAGACGGGGCTAGACTGAACAGGACTATGAGAGAACACAGAGCAAAGGAACTGACTTGTCAATGCAAATTGGGCTTCGTGGCAGGAGAAATGATCAGCGTTACATATTCTCGACACGTTGAGGTAGAGGGGCCTGGAAGCCCCAGAAACAAAGTACCTTTGCAGATATTAGCAGACGGTCGAGAAGTGCGAGGCACTTAAGGCATATATGCGAACTCGTCTTCAACGGCCCTTCGGCCTCTTCCCGCTGAAGCCTGTCCCCCATTGCCATCGTCCTCAGTTGTACCTAGACCACCGCCAGCCTTAAAGGAGAAAAAGAACCCACATCCCGTCCGCCGCCTTCCATACTTGCCTACCTTCCTCTCCGTCGCCTCACTTGCCATCCAAACAGCCGGTAGATCACACATCTCGGTTTGCTGTTACTCTGTTTAGCCTGCCCTGTTTTGCTGGCCCGATCTGGCCCGGCCCAGCACCACCAACCACTCGATATCTTAAATATGGTTCCTTATATCGATGTCTCCCATCTACCCTCGTCAACCTCCTTCTACTCGGCCATCCTCCAACCCCTCGGCATCCACTATATATCCGCGCACGCGCAGACCGCTTGCCCTGACACCCCCGCCGACACTATTAACACCGACTCCAAGACGACCGTCACCACTCCTAGCCCTGGCCGGCTTCCTACCACGGTCACCTACGGTACATCTTCCCCGCCTACCCCAGTACTTCAGATCCGAGAGGCCCGCAGTTCCAGCGAGCCCCTGAAGCTTTCTCGCATCGTCTTCTCCGCTCCGACCCCCTCCGCTGTCACCGACTTCCACTCCTTTGCCGCTCGGGCCAATCCGAACCTGCAGTCCGTAGTGCCCCCTGGCCAGAGTGGCGATATCCACCGGGCCGCGGTGACCGACTTGGACGGTAACATCATGGAGGTTGTATATCAACCCCCTCCCAACTACCCTCCTTCCTACGCTGGGTCGACTATTCGAAAGACGCAGTCCACTACCAAGGAGGCCAGTCGCATTCTCGACTGGAGTTACGACGTGGCCACCTCCGAACCTTCTCCCTCCATGTCTGGCTCCGTAGCTGGCGGGCCCTTGGCATCTGCTCTGGCCATGACCGCCCGCTCCGGTCAATTACCCGGCAACGAGCCGTACACTCTCCTCCGTCGCAGCGTCACCACATCCGTCATTGAATCGCCCTCCAGGAGAGAAGAGTCCGCTACCGAGCCTACCTCAGCCGCGAGCGGCATCGCTACAAGCACTGTTGTCGGAAGCCTTCTAGGTGCCGCCGTCGGTGCCGCCGCCGGCGCTGCTATCACGTATGGGATGATGCGAAAAGAACGCGCACGGGCTCCGGTTCAAGAGTTTGATGGCTCCGCTCCGCCGTTCCAGCGCCGGGCCACCTTCCCCGATCAGTACGCGGAGCCGCAAGCTGGGCATGGACGCTACGTCGAGGTTGAACGGACTGTCGAAAAGATCCGGTACCCAGAAGCCTACCCAACGCTCCCCGACAATCGTGCATCGCCTCAATACATGGCCAAGTACAGCCAGGTCGGCTCCCGCAGCCGTGTGGTCGACGATATGTACGACGACTCCCGTAGCCGTCACTCTTCACGCTACCAGCTCGAGAGAGGCAGTAGCGTTCGATCCCGTAGCCAGGCCGCCGTCCCTAGGACTGCCCCTCTCATGCTTACCGATTACGAGCACCAGAGCAATGCAGGCTCCAGACGCAGTGTGGCCAGCAAGTCAGCCGCGCCGCGCTCCATCGTCGACGATGCTGGGACTTACATCTCAGCCAGGAGCGAAAGATCGCAGTCGACCATTCGCCCGCCCCCTCCCACTGTCGAGACAATACTAGGCGGCGGAAGCAGGGCGCCAAGTCACGCGCCAACCCGAGCACCGAGCATGGTCCCAAGCCGTGCACCAACAAAGGCCCCCAGCAGGCCCCCAACTGTGGTCCGGGGCAAGGCTCCTACGACGGTGGCCCCAAGCAGGGCTCCCACCCAACCACCTACAATTATGCCCAGGAAAGCGCCGACTAAAGCGCCCAGCAGAGCCCCGACAGCCGCTCGAATCTCGCAACCCGTCTTCGCATATCCGCCTGCTACGCGAGCCCCGACATATATGCCTGCGCGCCACCTTCCTCCGCCGAGAAGTGGGATTGGCAATAGTCATGCTGCCTGGGAAGACGATGCCGTTAGCGTGGCACCGAGCGACAGCATCAGCTGTATTGGCAGCAAGACGAGTAGACGTCAGTATCAATAGGGGAAGGGGGGTTGCGATGGTTTAATTTTATTTCTCTGGCATGTCTGCCACACGATACTTGGCAGCACTGGCGTAATGGTGCACTTGTCGTGCACCCTGACGGCAGCTTGGTTGTCGAGTGATGCAAATGATCAACAGATAACTGGGTCGCACAGGACGAGGACTAAAGTTCCACTTCAATATTTGTTTCCATGCTATCAAGTTCGTTAGATCGTGCTGAGGGTTTTTTTTTCTCTCTCTTCTTTTTCACACTGTATTTGATGCATTACGCGGGACATTTATATACAATGAAGAAGATGGTCACGGATAGTATGAAGAACCTGTCTGTGTTCGAATTGTAGGTCCACGAATGGCATTTTCAATCATACCCGTTGGTGGACTACTCAATATGCAAGACACATTCCTGTGATGCTTCCCTTACAGTTACAAGACCAGGTAGTCCCTCATGAAGAATCAAGGAGCGAGAGGGGTGAGAAGATAGTTCTAAGAAGGATTCGATGAGGAAAGCAAAAAAGGAGGGTAAAGAAAAACCTAAGACGATGACTGTTTCGACAAATATATGTTCAAACCGAGTCCACATAATATGTACCAGAAACTGGGAAGAGTCGACTGTGACTTGAGCTAGTCAGCACCAAGAAATAGGCCAGGAGATGAAAGTGATTGTAAGAAAGTAAGTGTTGTTCAGCTGGGGGTACTTATAACTTCCTGGCATATGCGCTAGGTAGTAGTCAATGCCGGTGTTTAATTGGAGTCGAATGCCGCGAGCACTCTCTCTGATCGTCGGCACCTCCCATGGCTCGCAAGATCAATGCCGCTTGTTCCAGCCACCAAATATGCCCTTTCGCGGCTTTCTACCGTCTTCTGTTCCCCTGCCTCAAGTCAAATGCTGGCTGGCACATGGACGGACGTGGGAGTTTTGATAATCCGAACTCATAAAGGTTACAACTACCAAGTCATCCCTTCGCGTTGCTGCTCGGTCCAAACCCCAGATTGGGATGCTAACGACGTACCGTCATACTCTAATATTCCATCTCACCTATCTGGTAAAGCACGTTTTCTATCCTAAGCTAGGTCTAACTAGCTGTGAACTCTGTAGGCTACCAGGCGGTAAACACGATGGCCTTCTCTCTGTCACCTTCCATCAGAAGGCACACGCCATTGCCTTTTTCGATAAGATCGAGACAGCCAAAGGCCCCAGTTTGGGGACCAACTTCACCTTGACATAGCCTTATGCACTTCTTGCTCATTGAAGGAGCTGGACTGGGCTGGTGGGCTGGGAATCGACCCGGACCTCATTCAGGTGAGCGTTGGTCTCGAGGAGATGGACGGATCACGCAAGGTATTCACTTGGGCCTTGGAAGAGAGACGGATGTCTGAGCCGAGCTGCAGGTGTGAAATGTTAACAGTGACGGGTGTAAGCCGTCAGGCACACAGGCGAGTCGTGTAGTTGCACAAAAGTTATTGGAAATGGCATAGTAGTTCTATTCGGCGTGCTGGCGGAGCCTGACATCTTTTTCCAACTGTCGTCTTATGCTCGCGTTGCAACTGCCAAGGGTATCTCTGGGAATTCTATAGACAAAACAAAAACAAACCAGACCAGCGCCTCGACGACGGGCCCCAGTCACATGATGGAGCATTCGGAATGCACGTACTCAGGACCGTAATCCTCGATACCCCTTTCTATTTCATTGGCGCGCTGCTTCTCCTTGGTTTCTTTCGGGAAGTACTTGCGCATGTATCTCTCAAGTTGAATATCCAAATTATCTGCGAAGTCTAATGTTAGGAAGTTGGTCTTCTTGAGGTAGTGCATATATACCCCAGAAAAAGGGGGAAGGCGGTTCACTCACCAGCAGAGGCTTTCATGACGGTATCGGCCCGGCACAATGGGCAGTGTTTCTCGTTTCGACGTTGAATCTTGACAATGCATCTAATGCAAAAGATATGCCGACAAGCCAAGCGGACGGGACGGTATGCGATGGCGAAGCAGATGGGGCATAAGTAATCGCTAATCTGAGGCACAACGGAAACCAGATCAGTAGACATCTGAGCGCAAATGTCCTTGGCCACAGAGCCGGCAAGCAATTTATCCGAGTGTACCTGAATCGGGAATGTCTTTGAGACACCCAGACAGGTTCGTTTATCGAACTCTGGCAAACTGTCAGTTCCGCAACGCAGCCACAGCATCTGACTGAGGTGGCAGTAGAAGAGAAAAGACTTACTCTTCAATATCTTATATATGGCAACCTGGTTTATCTCCTGAAACTGCAGGTTTTTAAGGAGAACAGCATTCAGACGGAGGAATCGAACAAGGGCCTCGCGACTTTCGGCGATCTTGAAGGACCTGACCAAGTCACGTTTGGCGATCTCTTCCTGGAACCACTGAAGTTGTTTGGCGGCCGTCTGGCTGCTACGTGCTCCGTGGTCTTGCTCATTGGTGGAAAAGAACACCTGGGCGTCAAGATATAACTCGAAAATAGTCCTCCATCTCGCGAGGTCGCTCTTGGAGAGGCGGCTGGGTTTCGTCAGATGGGAGACCTCCCGGCGCAGAGCGACAATCTCGGTCACCATGGCCCTTTCCTCTTTAGCCTGGAGGGCATCCAGACTGTTGACGTCGCTTTGCAGAATCTTAAAGAACTCGCCGTCAAAGACGAGCGGAACCTCGATAAGCTCATGATGGTCTGCTAGGGCCGCTTGGCCGCGATCTTGATCACTGCTCTGAGTATCCGATAGCTCGACCTCGGCGTTGGCGAGAGACCTGGCAGAGGATATGAGTGATGCAGTTGATTCGGACTCATCTGTGGGCGTGGCAGTGGCTGGAATGGGTTGACCTGGATTTTGAGACTGGAAAGCGGCGATGCGTTCGATAAGAGCGCGGGACGCCGGCGTCAAAGAGGCATCGACGGCCTTTCCACCACGCATGTGGATCAAGACAATCAGTTTTGGTCTTAGCAACTTAGAGTTACCGGCGGCTAGATTGCGTCGAAACGTTGATGTCAGTTGAACGTTAATGATGACAATGACAGCGACTGGAACGCTGTTGAGGGTGGAGGGGCAGAAGGTTTACCATTGAGGCGGTATTTGGCGGCCAGTGGCGAATCATCGGCCGGGTCGAGAAGTTGGCGCAAAGTCTCAGGATCAAGCCCCAGGTCGTTGAGTTCGCCAGCGACACGTTTGAGGACCTTCTTCAATTGGCCGTAAGGAATGGCGAGGTCGATCCAGTGAGGTGGGAAGTCTGCGAGAGGGCAGTATCAGTAGTTGATAATGAATATCTCAATCACTCATGAGTGCTCACAAAGTCCTCATGAGACCTTGAATATGGGATGAGGATGAGGTGAGTTGTGTGTCGGCGCAAATCGGATGCATTTTTCCGACAAAGAGGAGGGGGGTGTCTTCACCTTCACGCCTGAGCGTCTCCTTGAAATCATGGGCGAACTTCATGGTGCACCAAATCAGTGGTGCGAAGGTATTCGGACGAGAGTGGGAATGAGTTGGCAATGTTTAGCGGATTAGCGACATGGTTTTCACCGGGATTGGCGAGGTTGAACGACAAGGTTGATGGGCTGGATTTGAGAGAAACGGTGGAGCGGTATCCGGCGAAGAAGGGCAAGCAGCCCGGTTGTCCTATATAAAGTTTTGAACTTTGCTGGAGGGCGGTAATTAAAAGAGCAGATGGTAACTACAGGCACTTTGCAGTATAAGTACGTAACCGAAATGTTTCGTACCTTTTACTGGCCTGGCCTGGACTCTAGACTGGGCTTGTCGTGTGAAGGACAAGGGGCAAGGAAGGAGGCATGGACGAAGGGCACATTATCAGGCAAGGCAGTCCACGTATTGGGACCACTAGACGGAACTTTCAGCCGGCACCTCTGGCTTCCTGTTGTTTTTTCTCTGGCACCTTTCATACGGAAGGGAAAGCACGTCCGGTGGTATGTATCCAAACTCTTTCCGGGGAAACATGCCGAGATAACGACTGCATTGTAATAGGCGCTCAAGCTGGTAGGTGTTGGCACCACGCATGGAGGGAGGCGGAAAAGTCAACGGCTAGGGCGGCCTGAGTGTGTTCGTAAATACATTGTACTAGCACGTGAGGGACGACGACTTCTGAACTCCTGTCCCCAAACCCCCACCTGTTCCAGTCTTGTCTCCTTCCTACGTGTATTTTCTTAGAGCGCAACCGCCGCAGTCAAGCAATCATTCCACATACAGTACTGGGTCAAAAGTCTGTTTACAGCAAAATGGATAACCCAAAGATGAGTTAAAGAGAGGACCCATTAATAGCTGGAGGTCACTTCACAGTGCGTCACTAAAGACCTTATGTCCTAACCACCTACTGTAGCTTTTGATTAGCTGTCCTTGTTGCTGTAAACAGACTTTAGACCTAGTACTGTACAAGGATGAGCCACCATTCGCTGCCTGCCCTCCTTGCCGTGCTGCGTACCGAGATACACGACTAACTGCATTGTTGAGAGTTGACACTGGCCAGAGCGCTACAGAATCTACATAGGCAAAGAGTAAGTCAAAGCACCCCTATTTTAAACACCCCCTTATTTCAAACAGTAATAACTAAACCCTACTACTATCTAGGCAGATAATTTAAATTACTATAATATAATAATTACTTTAGCTTAACTATATAAAATTAATATTAAAAAGAGGTAAATTTAATTTTTTATAACTTTACTGTTTTTACTACCTTAAAAGTAATCTTTTTTACTTATTATCTAGATTTCTAGATATACTTTATTTAGATAAAGTACTTATTAGGCCTTAGAGCTATCTTTGCTTTAATATATAGCTTATATACTTTAGTAATCTCCTTAAGTTAGTTAATTTATTACTTATATATAGTAATAAGTATATTCTTTATATTAAGGCTTTTACTTACCTTATAAAACAGTAAGTATTTATTAAATTATAGAGATTATAATAGTTACTTAATTAATTCTTATATATTATATATCTATAGTAAATTACTATAGAAATAGGGAAAACCCCTTATTTCTTAGTTAGGAAATCCCTAGCTAATCCTAGTAATATTATTAGTAGACTTACCCTAAAAGTAAGGCTAATTTACTGCCTATTTACTAACAATTTACTATAAGGTAACTATATATTTACTAGTTAATTTATATGTAATTCTGCTATATTTAATACACCCCCTTAGCGCTAGTAATATAGTTAATTACTATAGAGCCTACGCTAGTAATATAGTTAATTACTATAGAGCCTACGCTAAATATCCTCTATATATAGCCTATTTATTTATTAATTATCCTTTAATATCTTATACGTTTTCTTCCTTTATCTAGTAGTAAAGCTTTACTTTATTATTAGCTAATTCTTACTATTAATTTACTTTAAGGTATATATATTAGTTACTTATATTTAATTAAGTTATAAATATAGTAAATTATAGCGCACTAAGCGCCTTTATTAATCTATTAGCTATTAATTTAGTAGACTTCTTATATTTAATAGTAATCTAATCTACTACTACTTCTTATTATAGCTAGTAGTTATAAATATCTATATACTATAGCCTTATTTATAGTTAGATAAGCTCTTTAGTAATAAGCCTAATAGTCTAGGTATTATTATAGCTAATATAAATAGTTAGTAGCTATTTAGTAGCTACCTACTTATTAAGTAATAATTTAGTTTCTATTTATATTAATAGTTAAATACCTAGCGTAGTAATTAATCTACTAGTAAAAAGCGCCTCCTTTATAGTAAATAATAAGGCTAGTAATTTAGCTTTAGTAGTTAATATTATTACTATATCTTATTTATTTACTTACTAGGAGATAAGCCCTCTAAATAGCTTTAGTATATATACTTATAAGCTATAATAGTCTAGTAAGTTATTAGTAAATAAGGTGTCTAAAGTAACCTCTAATATATTATCTTTACTACTTAGTGTTACTTTATATTTAAGGTAAAAGTGCTATATATAGTAAAAATATCTAAGTATATAATTTACTACCTTTTAGTAATCTAGATTTAGATTATAGTTAAAGTAAGTAAGCTAGCTAGCTATAAAAGTAATATCTAGCTAAGTTATTACTACTATATAAAGAATTATTTTTACTTTTTTTTAATATTAGTTAACCTCTTATAATAAGGCTATATATTTACTAAGTAGTAGCTTAGCCTTTACTATAAGTAATAATTTATTATATTTATATTTATTATTTATTAAGAGTAGTTTTATTATTTTATTATAGTATACTACTTATAAAAGCTAGAGATAATAGTTACTTTAGTTATAAATTACTTTAAGGCTAAAAAACTACTATAATAAGCCTCTACTTTTAAAGTAGTATTATTACTAAAGAGCTACTATCTTATTACTTACTTATACTTTATTTATATAGTAATAAGCTAATATATAGTTATTAATATAAAAAAAGAATATAATATAATCCTTCTTTTAATAGTAATTCTTACTAAGCACTTAGTAAAAGCCCTATATAGTAAGTCCTTTTTTAAGGTGCTTTTACTATAGTAATAGTAATTACTAAAGCCTATATAGCGCTTTTAGTAGCTAAAGGATCTAGCTAGAGATTTAGTAGCCTAAAGGTATTTTTATAAATACTACTTTATTAATAGTAGTATAAATAAATATATTTACTATATTATATTAAAGTAATTCTAAATTAAAGTAAGTAGCTATTACTATAAGTATTTTAAATAATATACTTACTAATATAGCTATATAGGTATCTTATAGATTCTTTACTTATTAGTTACTATAGACTATAAGTCTTACTTTAAATTTAGTTAATTAACTATATTTATTAAGCTTATAGGTATATACCTAATAGTAGCTAAGGATTTAATACCTTTTAACTATTACTTATAGCACTATTACTTAAGATTTTAATATTTTATGCCTATATAAATACACTATTTTAGCGTCTTTAAATTGCTTTTTATATAAGTAGCTTTTTAACTATCTATAGATTAGTAGAGGGTGTAGTAACTTCTAATACGTGCTTATTAGCCTATAAAGTCTAGTAACTTCTTTATTATATACTAGTAATTTACTAGTAACGTCTTTATAATTATTATACTTATTAGGCGTTATATAGTTAATTAAGTAGCCTTAGGCGCACTTTAGCTAAAAGTAGTAGTCTTTACTTATTAGTTAACTTTATAATATGCTAGACTATATTATTACCTATAAGCTGCCTTATATATAGTCTATAATCTTTTACTATAAAGTAAGCCTTATAAGGAAAGCAGCCTTAAATAAAGTCCTTAGTATAATCTAACTACCTATATATATAGTAAGATAATACCTTTTTATAACGCCTTTAAATAAGGTTACTACTAGCTAGAGATTACCTAATAGGCTAGCTGTAGTTACTTAGAAATTAAACACCTTTTTACGCTTAGTAACGTCTTATAAATTAATTACGTAAGGATAAGATAAGGTATAAGGGATTACTATCCTTATTACTTTAGAACTATTAGTTCCTAGTAAGTTACTAGCTTATAGGCTATTAGCTATTAATAAATTATTTAAACTATTATTAGCTCTAATTACCTTAAGTAAGTTACTAGCTTATAGGCTATAGGCTATTAATAAATTAATTAGTAGGCTATTAGCTATTAATTTAGGTATTTACTTATTAATTGTTTTACTATTAGTAATTATTTAGCTATTAGCTATTAAATTAATTAATTTAGAGCTATTAGTTCCTATTTTACTACCCTCTATATTAATATCTATAATAGCTATAAAAAAGGCGCTTAGTAGTAATAGTAGTAGAGTAAGAAGAAGTGTAAATTTTACCTACTTATATAGATATTTTAGTGTGTTACTTAATTATAAAGCGCTTAGTAGAGTAATATTAGTATATTCTATTACTTTATCTATTTCTTTATTAGCTTCTTTATATAATAAGGATTAATTACTAGCTATAATTAGCTTATTAATTTATTATTAAATTACTATAAGATTAGCTTTATAAAGCTTATTAAGTAATTTATTTATTAACTTATTAAAGATTTATTTTTTATTAAATATTACGTTACATATAGTAAAGACCTTATTTTATACTAAATACTAAATATAATATAAATTACTAGATATATACCTAATAAGAAATCTAATTTATATATAGGTAGTAAGCTTTTACTAGTAGTTTTATAATAGTTAAATATTTACTATTAGTACGTACGCTTAGTATCTATAGGCTTATAAATATAAAAGATTTAGCTTTACTATTAGTAACAGCTTAGCGTACTTATTAAGTATAAAATATAAGTAAAATAATTAATATAAGAATTTCTACCCTTAAGCTGCTAATAGCGTTTAATTATAAAAGTATATAGCTATAGTTATAATTTTAGGCTATAGAACTTTAGGTAATTTTATATTAATCTATATATATTACGCTTTAAGTTTAATAATTATAGTAATTTACTTAGCG